TTTTGAATGTCCAACTCACTACTACAGATATTACACCTTGTAATACACGACACAAAAGAGCACATATCAAAGTTTGCTGTAGAGCTGTTAGGAGAATGCCAAATACAGATACTGAAAATTTTATGCACTTGTATTTAATACCCTGTGCATTTAAAAAATAATTGAATATTTAAAATATGTAAACATACTTATTAAAAAGCGATGCTAAGCACCTTTAAAATACAATACTGGTATATTGTGACTGAACATGCATTTAGAGGACAAATGAATTTTTAAAAATTTAGAAACTATTTTTAAAGAGCTACTCATTGAAATACTTACATGAAAATATTGATAGTTCCAGTTTCTACCTAAAAACCAAAAGAGTATACAATTAGGGACTTAAACCTTCCTTCGATGCTCTTTTTTAATTTTGCTTTTTGTTTGTGAGGAGGATGCACTGTGACTTTCTGTCCTCATAAAAAACAAAAATAAAAACAAAAAAAAACAAAAATCAGTACAAGAAAGAGACATTCACATAGAATGAAGTGAGAGAAATATTTTTCAACTATGTTTTGTTCTTGATCAAGTGCCAAAGTCTGAATCCTCTAACATCTCTCATCCTCGTAGATAACTCACTAGAGTTTGTATCTTAACAAGCATTTCTCCTTAACAACTCAACATCAAAAAAGAAAAGAATGTCTCCAAAGGAATATGGTTCAATTGGTAAAATATTTAATAAGCTATTGCCATTAATGAAAAGTGAAGATTACTTAAAATCTTGAAAACAATTTCCATAAAAACTAGAAATAACAAATGAAAAGAATATTACCTAAAATGTAATACTAAACTATAAATTTAGACTTATACCCTTTAAGTACACACAGACTAAGAGAAATCTGGGTTTGAGGTAACTAAGAGCTGTGTTTAACTTAGAGTAACATAATCAGATTTGGCAGCCTGTGTGAAAATGTGGACATCAAATATTTTCAAATCTTAGAATAATTAGCTATTCTAACTAAAAATCATATATGTAATTGAATATTAACTTTGCATTAATAGGGGTATAAATAATACATTTTATATTAAATAGGGTATAAATCTAAAGAGCAAGGTCTTTTATTAGAGTTCCACTCACTTCTAATATAACAATGCTTTATACTTAGATACATGCTGTGTACCTGCAACAATTAAAGTGAATTAAGAATGGGAGACTGGACTTAGAAAGCCCAAAATGACTCATATTCATATAAAATATTAAGGTTAAATTTCATATTATATTTCATTATGCATTGAATATTAAACATTAATATCCATTTGAAATCCTTATTACTTTAAAATAAAATTTTAAATATACCCATACATGGTCCCTGGGGTGAAAAAAGCCTTTACATTGATTTCTTGACCATTTATAATAGACATTTCTAGTTTATCAACCTTCCAGAAAACAGAAGCTTACAATGAATATAGTGATCAGTACCTATTCAGTATTTGGAGTAAATATACTTACTCAACAAGCAAACATATGTACACATAGTTGTTTTAAAGTTTTAAATATGAACTAATTTTTTAACTACAAATACTTACCTTGAAATACTATAAATTCTAATACCACCAATTCAGTAAGAACTCTGGCATAGAAAAATAAATACAACTCAAATTCCTTTCCATCCAGAGCTGAATCTTCAATACAAAATAGGAAAAAAAAATCCTCTGCTGATATCAAAAAGTCCCCCAAATCATCTGTAAACACCAGGGGAAGTCTATTATTCTTTCTGAATTCTCTCAATTTCTACATTTTCCTATCCATAAGTAGTGCTTTACCTACAATACTATACAAACCCATGCAATATACATTTATTTCTGTTGCTTATCTGATTAATTCAAATTAAAATTCTGAGTACTTACCAAGACACTTTAAATTTCTATTAGATGACCATTAGTATGCTATTGGTTTGTAGTTTTAGGTATAAAAACTATAATGGAAGAAGCCAAATTGCAACTACAGTTTCCACAGATGTGAATGCTGGGCTTCATGTTATGATTCAAATCTACTACTGTTTTATCTTTCCTAATGCGACAGAGTACAAATAATCTCTCACCTGTCTGCTAATATAAAGAATTTCTTCACAACTTTAAAGAGGAAATAAGTTCTTTCATAACTTTTAAAAAAGTCAACACACATACATACAGTCACACACACACACACTCACACACTATTTTTTGTTGTTGTTTTTGTCTTTTCAGAACCCAAATTGGATATTTCCAAGGGATGAGTTAGGTAACTATTTGTGTTCAGACTATATTGTCATGAATAAATTCAGATGATCTTTTGAAATACTGGCCTCATCAGATAATCAAAAAGCATAAGAATTATACAAAATGAGAGCAATAAAATAGCTTCCAAAAATATGGACTTGGCAACAAACATATCAGTTTTAAATCAAAGTTGCTCATTGAACTAGTCTTCAGTCCATTTATCACAATGCTGCACTTTGACAATATTCACCTTCTTTTTTATGACATCAGAAGTTACCCAAGTTGTAAATTCTGAAAAGCTTCAATAATTTATGTGGCAGATAATTTCTTACAGTCCAAATTTTTTTTTGCTTCCATAGACAATGCTGGTTCTTTGGGTTCTTGCTTAACTTGGCTCACAGAAATGGTACCTTCTGGATTTTCTTCAACTTTAAAACCAAACATAAAAGAAAAACCCTAAAGGTTAATGTAACTTATAACACTGGAATCTTAATAATTATATGAATTTAGAAGCAAAAAACAGTGTATTTGAGAACTCAGTATTTCTGACATCTTAATAGTCATTCATAATAAATTCTTTCAGGATGTGTACACCTGAAGCTAATGAAACATTGTGTGTCAACTAAACTTCAATAAAAAAAGGAAAGAAAAAGAAAAATAATAAAAAATTAAATGTTGAGAAGTTAAAAAAAAATTCCTTCAGTATGTTTCTGGTAATGAAAACAAGAAGAGACTAAGAAAACCATAGTTATTCTCCTCTACAGATACTTTGACAAAAAAGCAGTCGATAATTTGATAAAATTATGAGGACTATCTCATATTTAAACTTAACTGCCTTTAAAAATACGTGTAAATAAAAGTCAGGAACTCTCCTATTATGTGAAAATGATGTTTTGCAAACAGTAGGTATATGTATTACAAATTTACAAATTTGTTACCAATCCCATATGGTTTCCATATGTGGCCATATATCAAGGAAAATATTCCCTCCCTAAAGAAACTCAACTACATAAGTACTTTAGAAAAAAATATGCCACATCTTAAAGGATAGTTCTGACTTAGCTCTACAAACTGTATGTTTGCTTATCTGAAACATTGTACAATGCACTTACTATTCTGATTTTAAAGTACTTATGACCAAATTAATCTGATTGCAGGATACCAGCAACACTATCTTGAACTGGTAGGTGGGATGTCTAAGATAAAATCTTTCTCTTTCTCAGGGATATCAGTTTTTCAGTTGCTATAGGGAACCAAGATTAAGGGAACCAATATTTACTCAGGAAAGTATGTTGAACACCCCTAATGCTTGTCACATATGGGTATATTAGGAGTTTAGCCCTCACCATAAAGAAAACCAGTAGAAGATGGATTTGAGTGACCCTCAGAATTCATATTCAGGTAAAGTAGTCCCTCAGATCATGATCTAACTTGATAAATCATGCAAGTTCAGATACAAAGAGGATCTCCTTTAAGACACTCTGAATTAGAGCTCCCAGAAATACCTTGGTACAACATAGAGGGAGGAAGCATGTTAGAATGGAAAGAAACTTTGGAGGCAGATAGATCTGGGTTTAAATCCCTGCTCTATCACTTTTAGGTAATCACTTAACCTCCCTGAGCCTTAATTTACCTATCTGTAAATGGGGACACCATCAACTATTTCATGAAGTTCTGAGGATTAATTCACATATATTCCTTTTCCCTCTCTTCTACTAAACTTATTCAGTAGTGACAACTGCCACAGCTCTCTGGATAAATGTCCTTAAAAGTAACACTTCCAATAAATTTAAAAGATAATGATTCTTTTCTGGAAGGAACTACCTTACACTTTTCCTTACCCAGGAGAATGATGTCTAGGAATGGAGGGTAAATACTTTATATGTTCTAAGGATAATTTCTATGAAGATTTTTGTTCTTCAAAGCAAACTGCAAATCTTTCTGCACAAAAGTGCCCAATCCAAAACAATCTATGTGGAAGGGAGTGACATAGGTCAAGTAGGAGTTAGAATTTATCACTAGGTTGATTGGGTTTGTTACAAAGTGAAGATAACGAGGTCTTGGATTAAACCCAAGTCCCCAAGGCTTAACTAATTCCCTTTCAATTTCCATAGAACTCAACGTTTAAGTTTAAAACTCAAGATCTTTAACATTTATATCTGCCTACTTCATTCCATTTTTCCTTGTAACACTTTTTCCATAGTAACCTTTACACTAAGTGTTTTCCTTTTAAAGTTTCTCATTTTATGGGGCACCTGGGTAGCTCAGTCAGTTAAGCATCTGCTTTCGGCTCAGGTCATGATTTTAGGGTCCTGGGATCAAGCCCCACTTCAGGCTCCCTGCTCAGTGGGGAGTCTACTTCTCCCTTTCCCTCTGCTCCTCCCCCCTGTTTGTGCCCTCTTTCTTTCTAATACATAAATAAATACATAATCGTAAAAAAAAAAGTTTCTCATTTTTTTCATGCATTCTAAAATGACTCTCTGATTTCATATCACCATAGATTTTCTATGTAAACTGTGGTAATTAGGGAATGAATAATTTTGGAGAAGAAAAAATAAAAAAGTTTAAAAGTTATTATGCTCTTGATAAATTTCCTTTTCTAAATTTCCCCTTTTCTAAAATTACTAGAAGTAATTTTACTTTATTTATTTATATTTTATAAACCCCTGAGTAGAAATGATTGTTTTTTTTTTCTGTAGTGTAACAGTAATGATAGTCCATAAAGGCTAAAAAAATAAAATCACAAGTTGCTTTTAACTTACTAATAGCTGGCTGGCTATCTATAATCTGTATTGGGATGGTCTGCACATTTCCCAGCAGAATCTGATGAACACTTCCTTCCATATTCTCTGTATCCTCAACATCTCCAACTTCCACCAGCTGGTCCACTGCAGCCAGATTTTGATCTGGTCCCGGAAGGCTACCCATGGTAGAGGCAATAATGCTATTGTTTGGGGTTAGGCATGTATCTGTTTGAAGACTATGACTTTGACCAAGCAGTAGAGAATTATTATTCATTACAGTACTTTCTAATGAATCCAGAAGTCTTGAAGGACTGGAGGAAGGGTGGTTATTTACTGATACCGGAGCCGTTGATCCATCAGGAGAAGTGAATCTTGGTTGCAACTGCAAACCCTTTTAAACCAAAAAGAGTTACATCAAAATGTTTAAATTTACTAATTTTCTCATAGGATATATTATTCTTTTGACATGTAATTGGAATAAAATACAGGAGTATAATTACTAACAAATATCAAGGACAGAAACAAGAATCAAAGGAAAAGTAGTACAACTAAACTTTATTGCATGCATAGTCAACTCCAACTTTTTCAAAATGTATTGTTTAAATGATCTTATATCAAGATACAAAAAAGTCAAGAAATTAACAATAAAAACATCTGTGATCATTACTATAATTCTATAATAATTCTATAAAATCCCTAGAAGAAGAGAGATTATGGAAGAAAGGGAAGGGCTTCAATTTTGTCTATTTCATTGGGTACCTACCTGTAGTTGTGTAAATATTTTTGGTTGAAATGAGGAAAGTGAAGAAAGCAAGTGGGCTGGCTCTGGAGACAAAGAACCCGTTGTCTGATTTGTTTCCACTTTGGTGTTAATTGATTCCCCTGGTGAATTTCCTAAGTTATATAAAAAAAATCAGCTATCAAAACAAAATAATGTTTATGGTTTCTATGTTATGTGACACTACATTTTATTACAACATTTACTATCATAATTAGAATAGGAAATAAATTCAAAGGTTTGAAAAGGACTTTAAGAAGTTATTTTGTCCACTATTTCCAGAACTGGTAGAATCAGAATCACTCAGGAACTTTTTAAAAATATAAATTCCTAGGTTCAACCTTCATTAATTTTAATTCAGTATATCTAGGATGTGATGTTGGAAACAGTATTTTTTTCCTTGAAACATTATGTATTTGTAACTCAAATCTAGTCCATTTTCTATGATATGATGCTGGACTACATCTAAATTTCTCTGGATGTGTGACACCTATTGAACCTCTCAATTACAAAGACCAAACTTAATTCATCTTTGGTAGCCCTAATGCTTAGGATAATGCCTGGCATAAAGCTGGTCCTCAATAATAACAGTGTTAAATTTCTTTCAGTAACTCATTTTGAAATATATGACTAAGAGTAAAAATCTGTTTTCTTAGGGGCGCCTGGGTGGCTCAGATGGTTAAGTGTCTGCCTTCGGCTCAGACTATATTCCCTAAGGACAATTACTTTAGCAAATGAGATTTTAAGAAAACAGATTTATTTATTTATTTTTTATTTTTATTTTTTTTAAAGATTTTATTTATTCATCTGAGATGCAGAGATACAGAGAGAGAGAGAGAGAGAGAGAGAGCATGAGCAGGGAGAGAGGCAGAGGGAGAGGGAGAAGCAGGCTCCCCTGCTGAGCCAGGAGCCCAATATGGGGCTGGATCCCAGGACCCTGGGATCATGACCTGAACTGAAGGCAGATGCTTAACCATCTGAGCTACCCAGGTGCCCCTATCAACTCCTTTCTTATTAAAATTCTCTCCCTATCCAGCTTAGTCAGAATCCTACGGTGATAGTTTCAGTCACTCTCTTGCAAATCCCCTAACCTCCCTTGCTTCTTTGTACTTTTGTTACAACCCCTGGTAAAATCCTAACACGGAATGAAAATGGCCCATATATGTGAAGCTGAATGTGAGTGAAAAAGAAACTTGCTGCTACTACTAATACCAATTCATGATCATCAACTTCAACAGGACCTTCACCTGTATCTGACAACCTTACAAGTTTCTCCCCCTTTATATTTTAGAAGATTTCAAATGTCCAATCTTGGCCACACTTCCTAAGATCTTTTTCACTCTCAGCACTCTTGAAGAGAAAAGAGAAACTATCAGAAATTTCCTCAACTTCCCATCATGAAAGCTATCAAATACCTTCATCTTCATCTCTCTCTTCAGATCTCTATCTGAAAATACCTTCTCTCAACCCTTTTTCCCCTCATAGCACATTGTCTCTACTTCATCATTTATCACTCATTCACTCTTCAACCATCCCAATGTGGCTTCTTCCCAATCCACTCCACTGAAATGGCTCTGATATGTATCTAAGCTTTCCAAACCTGATTTCATGAACTTTTTTCTTTCCCCTTGCCATTACCAAATTCTATTCTTACACCAGTGTTGCCTACCTCAGTAAATGCCACTATCAGTCAGTTGCTCATAGAAGAAACTCAGGAGTCATGCCAGATCATTCCCATTCTTTTACCTCCCACACCTATTCAATCAATAACCAAAACCTTTAAAAACAACTTTTTAAAAAAAAAAAGATTTTATTTATTTATTTGACAGACAGAGAGAGAGAGAGAACAAGCAGGGGGAACAGTTGAGAGAGAGAGGGAGAAGCAGGTTCCCTGCCAAGCAGGGAGCCCAATGCGGGGCTTGATCCCAGGACCCTGGGATCATGACCTGAGCCGAAGGCAGACATTTAACCATCACAGCCACCCAGGCGCCCCATCTGTCCAATTCTAGTATAAATGCCACTCACTGTAGACTAAACCACTATCACACCTTTCATCTGGACAGCTCTAAGGGCCTCCTAAGCCCATTTTGCATATCCAGTTTTTTTTTTAATCTTTTTTTTAAAGATTTTATTTATTTATTCATGAGAGACAGAGGGAGGGAGAGAGAGAGAGAGAGAAGCAGAGGGAAAAGCAGGCTCCCAAGGAGCAGGGAGCCTGATGCGGGACCCAGGACCCTGGGATCATGACCTGAGCCGAAGGCAGACACTTAACCATCTGAGCCACCCAGGCGCCCTTGCATATCCAGTTTTATCTCCAAGCATTGTCTATGCTTAAAACCATATCAACTTTCTTACGTTCCTTGAACATGACAAGCTCTTTCTTGCTTAGCTTTCAAACATGGTATTCTTTTGATTGACAAATTCCTATCCATTCTTCAGTTCTTAGTATAAAAGCCACTTTCTCAAATGTTAGTTCCCTACTCCCTAGATTAAGTTATATGTCTGTCACTATTCTCACACAATTTTGCACAACTCTTTTATGGCACTATTCATAACAGTAATTAGAATAAATGTGTTTAGTGTCTTTTTCTCTTGCTCAATTTGAAATTCAATGAAGAAACTTATTCTTTTTTATGTCCAGCATTTATCACAGTGAGTAAAATATGTGAACAGATGAATAATGATAAAGAATTTGAAAGTTATTCTCTATGCACAGTGACTTTTAAAGGTTAAACAACCGAAGAATAAAGAAATAATTGTACTGTATACAGTTATTCATTAATTTATGCTAAAGGGGCGCCTGGGTGGCTCAGTCGTTAAGCGTCTGCCTTCGGCTTAGGTCATGATCGCAGAGTCCTGGGATCAAGCCCCGCATCGGGCTCCCTGCTCACCGGGAAGCCTGCTTCTCCCTCTCCCACTCCCTCTGCTTGTGTTCCCTCTCTCGCTATCTCTCTCCCTGTCAAATAAATAAATAAAATCTTGGGCACCTGGGTGGCTCAGTCGTTAAGCATCTGCCTTCAGCTCAGGTCATGATCCTAGGGTCCTGGGATTGAGTCCCACATCGGGCTCCCTGCTCAGTGGGAGGCCTGCTTCTCCCTCTCCCACTCCCCCTGCTTGTGTTCCTGCTCTCACTGTGTCTCTCTGTCAAACAAATAAAATCTTTAATAAATAAATAAATAAATAAATAAATAAATAAATAAATAAATAAAATCTTAAAGCATTTATTTAGATGTTAACTTTGTAGCAGGGATTATGCTAGGCACTAGTTATGTTAACTTGAATAAAATATAACCCTTGTGCCTGAGTAGCTCAAATCATAATGAAAGATACAGATGTATAAACAAAAGCATACCATGTTAAATGCAGAGGTAAGTATAAAAGAATGAATGTCTAACTTTATATAGGGGGTGAAGTTAAGAGAGCACTTAAAGCCAAATAGATTGATTTCAGTAGTGAGAGGAGTTAACCATACAGAAGCAGAGAAAACACATTTCCAGAAGAGAAAAAAAAAGGGTAAAATAAGCTTGGAATAGTAAGAGAACACAAGAGTAAGAGCATATGAAAAAAAGCAAACCATATAAAATGGACAAAGTTTCCTGATCAAGGTATCTTAAGTTTATTACTATTGGAATTAGCCTAGCTTTACAGTAAGCCGTACTAGCAATTGGCCTCAAAATTTTAATCATAAAGCATAAAAGCTTATTATATGAGGAAATTTATTAAGTTTATTTATTTATTTTTGGTAATCTCTACACCTACTGTGGGGCTTGAACTCACAAACCCAACATCGAGAGTCATATGCTCTTCCAACTAAGCCAGCCAGGCACCCCTTATTTTTAATTTTTGTTTGAATATAGTTGACACACAATGTTATATTAGTTCCAAGTGAATAACACAGTGATTCAACTTCTCTATATATTATGCTATGCTCACCACAAGTGTAGCTACCATCTGTCACCAAACATTGTGATTATAGTATCATTGACTATATTCCCTATGCTGTGCCTTTTTTTTTTAAGATTTATTTATTTATTTGAGAGGGGAGGGAAGGGTGGTGGGACAGAATCTTCAAGCAGACGCCCCACTGAGCATGGAGCCCAATCTCATGACCTGAACTGAAACCAAAAGCCAGATGCTCAACCGACTAAGCCACCCAGGCAGCCTTATGCCTTTTATTCCCGTGACTTACTCATTCCATTACTGGAAGCCTTCTCCCACTCCCCTTCACCCATTTTGCCCATCCCACCCCACCTCTCCCCTCTGGCAACCATCAGTTTGTTCTCTGTATTTACAGGTCTGATTCTGTTTTTTGTTTATTCATGTGTTTTGTTTATCAGATTCCACATATGAGTGATATCATACAGTATTTGTCTTTCTCATGAGAAGTTTGATTTATTTTACTTAGCATAATACTCTCTAGGTCCATCCATGTCATTATAAAAGGCAACATCTCATCCTTTCTTACAGCTAAATAACATATATCAGGAAGTATATATGAGTAACATGTAAGTATATATGTTTAAACAGCTATAATTATTTTGACAAATCCTAACATAGTTGTTCCTGTCTCTTTGGGCCATGGTTTGATTAGATGAGATAATATCTTCAATGTCTTCCAGTTTTTTGTGGTGTGGTTTTAAATATTTTATTTATTTATTTGATAGAGACACAGCAAGAGAGGGAACACAAGCAGGGGGAGTGGGAGAGGGAGAAGCAGACTCCCCACTGAGCAGAGAACCCAATGTGGGACTCGATCCCAGGACCCCAGGATCATGACCTGAGCCGAAGGCAGACTCTTAACAACTGAGCCACCCAGGTGCCCCCAATGTCTTCCAGTTTAAACACTGATTTTATATATTAAATATATTCAAGATAACTTACCTTCTGCAAATGTAACTGTCACAGTCTCTCTGAGAATATGCCCATTATCTGTAGTCCATTGAAGCTGAAATGGGAACATTTATTTCAGTAAAAACAATAAAGCATTTATAGTAAAAAATGTTTTAAAATATCAATACAACTGTCATATTTTATTCAGTGATAGTATAATTGTGTTTCATTCAGTAATTACTCTCTTCACTTGTTTACATTCTCAAAATATGAGTATAGTCCACTATCCAAATACATTAGCTTCCCAAGTTCAGATAGCAAGAATTTGGATGGCAAAGATCACTGCTAACCAAATCCATTTTACTTCCTGAACTTTGGATAGTGAATAAATAAGAGAGTTTGGGTTGGAAAAGAATAGTAGCACTAGCTTAAAATCTGAATCTATTTAGTTCAGAAGGCATAATTTGGGTAGTAAAAATTTGACAGCAAAGGGTATTGCTACTGAGATTTTTTTAAAAGATTATTTATTTTAGAGAGTGAGAAGGAGCACATGCAAGCGTTGGGGAGGGGGAGAGTGAGGCAGAAAATCCAAGCAGAATCCCCACTGAGCACGGAGCCCAAAGCAGGGCTTGATCTCATGATCCTGAGATCATGACCTGAACCAAAGTCAAGAGTCAAGACACTTAACTGACTGAGCCACCCAGGTGCCCCATTTTTTGAAAGATTTATTTATTAGAGAGAGAGAGAGAGAGTAAGCGAGCAGGGAGAGCGGCTAAGAGAGAGGGAAAGACTCTCAAGCAGATTCCCTGCTGAGGTGGAGCTGGATGGGATGTGGGGCTTGATCTAATGACCCAGAGATCATGACCTGAGCAGATATCAAGTCAGGTGTTTTACCTACTGAGCCCCCCAGGCGCCCCCTGTCTATTTTTAAAAAGAGAGGAAGGTATACACAATATATACCCAATAAATATTTGTTAGATGAATATGATATACTTTTTACAGAGATAAAATATGTTGATTTTTAAGTGAAGATTACTATTGTTATTATAGTCAGAGTTGGAAATTGACTGATATTTCTTCTTGTGAGAGTAATAAACAAAATTTTAGTCAAATCATCACCTGAAGGTTCATAATGTTTACATTTTAAGAAAAAGAAACTACTATTTCTTCTTTTTTAAAAAAGGTTTTATTTATTTGAGAGAGCGACAGAGAGAGAATGAGGAATGGGAGCGGAGGCAGAAGGAGAAGTGGAGACTCTATGCTGAGCAGGGAGCCTGACACAGGGCTTGATTCCAGGACCCCAGGATCATGACCTGACCTGAAGGCAGATGCTTAACCGACTGAGCCACCCCGGCCCCCCCCCCCCTTTTTAAGATTTATTTATTTCAGTGAGAGGCAGAGTTCAGGGCAGGAGGGGCACAGGAAGAAGGAGAGAGAAACTCAAGCAGACTGCGCAATGGGAATGGAGCCTGACACAGGGCTCCATTTCAGATCAGACCTGAGCTAAAACCAAGAGTTGGATGCTTAACCGGCTGCATCACCAAGGCGCCCCCAAAACTACTATTTTTTCTTTCATCACAGCTATTTATATGGCCTAATAACAACCACCCCGTTAGGCCAACTAGTAAGAGAAGTTGAGAAAGATTCTATAATAAAACAAAGAATTATAATTGTAATCATACCGTTGCTGGAATAATCTCTGAGTTATACACATTATCTCCATTTCTCAAGGATTTCTGTACCTCATGGATGTGATTTTTAATATCATTTACAGTTGGAAAAAAGGATAAATTATGTCTCTCAGGCACCTCATCAGGTTTAAATAGTTCTCTTTCTACAAATTTTCTGTGGAGAGCATAAAATAGAATAAAAACATAAATAGTAATATACTTCAGATCAAAGGAGAAAATGTTCTTTTTTAGCATAAACTTCTGTAAAGCATGGTTTACAGTTTTATAATTTATATTTTTCCACTTTTAATTTTTTCCGTACATTAAATCAAAGAAATCATGCAGATTAAAGCAATATAATACTTTCATTGGTTAAATAACTCTGTATCTAGAATAAGCTTTGACATTTTTATAGGAATCATTATTGTCAGTTTAAGCATATGTTTTGAATGCTAACTATGTCAGGCAGTGTACTTGAACACTTCACATCAAGGATCTCCTTTAATGCTTACTATAATCCTGTGAGGTAAGTACAATGATCATTCCCACTTTACTCCCAATTATCATTCCAGGGAACCGAGGGCTGCTGAAGTTTAATAATTTGCCAAAGTTATACATCTAGCCAGTAAGTAAGAGAGGTTGGGCCTACACTCAGGTTATTGCATAAACATCATGTCACACTGCTGCCAAAAGGCATCACTTACTATATAAAATATGACCTGCTTGAATTTTTTAAGTAGACAAAAGAGAAATATAGAAATAGAAGGCAGCATTGACACATCAATATATAAAAATACACAAAAAATTATAAAGTCCAATATTCATATGGTTTGTGTATTACATTCTATAGACCATACTGCAGAGCTGAATCATACCTCTGTTCTTAAGGTTCAAGTTTAGTAAATAATGCATGATTTTTACCAAATTTTGGCTCTGTTCTAACAATGTCCCAATGAAAATGAATATAAAATGTCTGAAAAAACTGCTAAATGGGAAAATCACGTATTAATTAAGATATTAACCTAGGAAATACTCATTGTGTTGTTCAGATGGGACTACACAATAACCAGTATGAATAAGGCCAGTTAAGTACCAGAAATCATGGTGAAAGAGCACAGGCTATAGAATTAGATCTAGATTTCAGTTCTGCCTCTACCTCTTAAGCCAGTTATATAACCACTCATAGTGTCCGTTTTCTCATGCGCAGGATGGAGATAAATATACCAATTTTATAGACTTGCAAGAATAAATGAGATCATGATTATTGTATCCTGAGAATCAGTAACATTGGACCAGAATGCTACATGTAAACTTCCATCATACAAAGAACTATCCATGTTCTTTTGTTATAATACAACTTAATTGCATTTCAAATAGCTTAAATAAGCATCCTGGCCTAGGTTTTAAAATCTTTGATTCTACAAAGGCTTTTTTTTCTGTAAAGGCATTTATTATATAATTCAATTTATATATAATTCAGAAATAGTCCAGTTAGCTAAATTTGAATATGGAATATTTCAAATGAGTAGGCTGAATCATTACTCATGGCTTGCCAAGTATCTGCTAGAAAATGATCAGTTCATAAATGAGATTATTTTAATAAATTAATAAATTATATTCCTTATCTACTCTGATAGCATATATCTTGGAAAACGTCTATGATGATAAATTATTTAAACCAACAAACAAAAATGAAAAATGTAAAAGAACAATTTGTTTTTACTGTACCTTAGCTGTTTCCTTACTGCATATACTTGTTCTATTCCCTGTGACACTAATTCTTGAATCTTATGTGCTACTTGAGGATGCAGACGTGAGGGTAATGCACAATTCTCATCCCTAATTGCTGTTTCCTCTTCTTCAAGAGAAGACATAGGAAAAGGGGAAGGTGGCAAAGGGAGGCAGGAAGTCTCTAATTCATGATACTGATGAGCTTGCTTTGTAGGTAACTGGACATACCACCTGACAAGAAGAAAAATTTAAAATTATGTTACTAGACAAAGGCAAGAATCATAGTTACTTATGTTAAAACTCATCAAGAAAGGGGCGCCTGAGTGGCTCAGTCGTTAAGCGTCTGCCTTCGGCTCAGGTCCTGATCCCAGGGTCCTGGGATCGAGCCCCATGTCGGGCTCCCTGCTCCGCGGGAAGCCTGCTTCTCCCTCTCCTACTCCCCCTGCTTGTGTTCCCTCTCTCGCTGTCCTTCTCTGTGTCAAATAAATAAATAAAATCTTAAAAAAAAAAAAAGAAAACAAGAATATCCACCTACAGTTTCTTTAAAAAAAAAAAACTCATCAAGAAAAAGAATCATCTTTTAAGATATGATTATATCAGTAAGTAAATGTAATAAAAATTTTAAAATGATATAAATAAAATTTAAAATGTCCTCTGCTTGATTTTTTTTAGAAAGATTTTATTTATTTATTTATTTATTTATTTGAGAGAGAGAGAGAAAGAGAGAGCATGTGCATGCATGGGGGCAGGTAGAGGGAGAGGGGAGGGAGACAGGGGAAGAGGCAAAGAATCTCAAGCAGACTCTACACTGAGCTTGGGGCCCGATTCGGGGCTCATCTCACCACCCTGAGCCGAAACTAAGAGTTGGACAGCCAACCAACGGAGCCACCCAGGTGCCCCCTCTGCTTGACCCCTCTAAGTTGGTTTTATACCCAAATAAATAAAAATCTTTATAAACCTTTATAGACTTTCACTATGGCCCTATAGTTAAGGAGGGTACAGGAGTTAAGTATATATGAAAATGGTATTCTAAATTTCATGTTAAGTAAATTTTACCTCAAAATAATGAGACTTTTTTTTTAAAATATTTTATTTATTTATTTGAGAGAGCGAGAATGAGAGAGAGAGAGAGAGCATATGAGAGGGTGGAGGGTCAGAGGGAGAAGCAGACTCCCTGCTGAGCAGGGAGCCCGATGTGGGACTCGATCCCGGGACTCCAGGATCATGACCTGAGCCGAAGGCAGTCGCTTAACCAACTGAGCCACCCAGGCACCCAAAATAATGAGACTTTTAAAGTCATCATCTTTTAAACTGTGTATTTTCCCATTCTTCTATGATTTTGTCCCCAAATTATAACTTCTGTGTTCCACCTATAATCCTTCCAAAGGGTGGCTATAATTCAGAGTCTACCAAGACTGAGCTGAGTGGGAGAATCTTATCTGACAGGAGCTCAATACACTACCTCTATTGCCCCATAGCCCCTCTATTGCACACAGCTCCTATTGCCCCAATGAACAAGAGAATCAACTAAAAGATGAATATAGGTCTTTCATATTGCAGTGCAAAAAAAACAGATGCTAGGCAAATGAAACGATCTGGTAGGATACTGTTTTTTTTTTTTAAAGATTTTATTTATTTATTCATGAGAGACAGAGAAAGAGAGAGAGGCAGAGGGAGAAGCAGGCTCCTAAGGAGCAGGGAGCCCGATGCGGGACTCGATCCCAGGACCCTGGGATCATGACCTGAGCCGAAGGCAGACGCTTAACCATCTGAGCCACCCAGGTGCCCCTGGTAGGATACTGTTTTAATGGATACTTTTATACAAAGTGCTTACAATGACTGATACTCATGAAATGGTGGCTTATTTAAAAATTATATACAATGTTCTCCAAACTGAATGATCTAATTATTGGCTACTCATTTTCCATATATCCAAAAGTTTTTTTATGTATTTATTTTTTTAAAGATTTATTTATCTTTTTGAGAGAGAGAGCACACGAGCAGGGGGATGGGCAGAGGGAAAGGGAGAGGAGCAGACTCCCCGCTGAGCATGGAGCCGGACACAGGGCTTGATCCCCCAACCCCAAGATCATGACCTGAGCTGAAACCAAGAGTTGGACACCCAACCGACTGAGCCACCCGGGCACCCATAGCCAAAAGTTTTGTTTTGTTTTGTTTTTACAAAAACTATATTCTGTGCACTTAATCCTCTGGTATTACTGTAAATTCTTTACCTGGACTAACACATAAGAAAGCAAGCTAATATTTCTTCTTATGTAAAATCTGAAGCACAAAAAATATATAAAAATGGAATTTTATGTAGGGCTTAGAATTAATTTCTGGCTGCTATAGGTAATCAAAGATGGGTTAAAAAGATATACAGGTGCCTGCAAGTTTGGCTCCTAAGAAGTATCAGAAACAAAGTATGAAATATATAATTATATGTGTTGCTAAACACATTATTTGTCATTTTGGGGAAAAACTTCCATACGGTATACAGAATTCTTTGGTAGGCATTATCGGAACATTTGGTTGATAAACTCAATGGCTGACACAGTGGCAAATTTTAATACCTAGGCAACCACTAACGAGACATCTCCCTTATAAAAATCATTCTTAATGAAATAATTAGAAAACATAATTATAATTTCTCTTACAAGAAAAAATCTTGTAAATGGAGCTAATTTGTAAAAATAAAATAATAATATAAATGTCATACCTAAGAACACCGCCAGCATCTACCAAGTTCTTCTTTAGCATGTTAAAGGCTTTTTCCTGCTCCATTCGGATTATTTTCTTGTCAATTTTGGGGTCTGTGGGAACTCTATATTCAGGAAACTTCTGTACTTTTTTAATGTAAATCCTGTTTATAAGTAAAAGTAGAATTTCTTTCATTATATTATAATATCAGGAAAATCAAACTTACCAAGCAGAAGTTTAAGCATTAAAGTTTAGAGAAAAATCAATTAAACTAGAAAGCATTCAGAGGATTATGTTGAAAAATAAGCCATATTCTCAGTGTGTAATATTTAGCAAATTAACAATAATCATGACATCAGTAAAAATATCTGAATATTTATGGATATTAACTTTTGTTTCTGGATTTGCCTCTTCCCAATTCTCCTGGAAGCCATAAAAAACGCATGCCTGGGGGTTCCAGAAGGGTGCTGGCAGGAGGGGGATGGGCAGCAGCTGCGGCAGCTGGAGGATGAAGAAGGAGCATGTGCTGCACTGTCAGTTCTCTGTGTGGTAGCCACTGTTCGGAAGCCTTACCATCAAGAGTGTCATTCTTCCACTCCTCAGAATGTGAAGGATTATTTACTTGATGGTGGAACTCTGGTGGTTTCAGGAAGAGAAGATCCGCCAACACGTTCTCAGCCAAACAGTGATAATAAGGCAGAAGAAATACAGTGGTCGGATGATGAGAACACGGCTACCCTTATGGCACCAGAATTTCCCGAAGTCACCACTAAAGGTCAAGAAGCTATCGATTCCCTGGGGGGCAGTGTATTTCCTAAGCTTAATTGGAGTGCCTCAAGGGATACATACTGGATAGCAATAAACAGTTCTCTGAAATGTAAAACCCTCAGTGCAGTCTTTCTATTGTTCAAGAGTTGTGATTTCATCACTCATGACTTTACTCAACCATTTTTTCATTGTACTGATGATTCTCCACATCCTTGTATAGAATAAGAACTTGTTCTTTGAAAATGGTATGAATTAATTCTTCAGCTTTCCATTACACAAACCGTGAAGTGACAATTCAACCCTGTCCCTGAGTTACTGACTTCCCAAGGACTTTGTAGACCCGTCTACTGGGGAGGATGCTTATAAACTCATAGATTTTCATAAACTGAAAAGAAATCAGCAAGAGGATGACTGATGAGAGCACCAGAGTTCAAGTCCCAGATAGAGAGGAAACCATCTTGGTGTCAGGAGGCTGCTCTCAGTTCACAACTTCCTGTTAGCCCATTCTGTCAGGGTGGGAGGCAGGGTGAAATCAATACTTCTTTATATTCACATACATTAAGCCGGAAAAAAATGGAGGGACTTTGCTACTTGTAAAAATAAATTATAAATAGATCTTAAACATAAAAACAAAAAAGAACAAAAAACTCATGCCTGGATTACTTTAATAGCCTCCTTCTGGGCCTCTGAGCCTCGTTCCTTAAATCCACTTGATATATTAATGCTACAATAATTCTTCACATTTGTCCTTTTCTGTTGAAGAATCTACCTGCTCTTTAATCAAGTACGAATTTCTTGGCAGCATTCAAGCCATCCCATATGATTCTAGCTTATTTACCTAATCTTACTTTCAATTATTTCAAATGTAAAATTGCTTTTTCAGTGAAGTTTATCATTTCAATGGTATTTCCTCCTCTGATACCAAAAATACAATCACACCATATCTTTATGCATATAATTTCCTGGCCTACAGTATCTCCCCTCTAATTCCTTATCTACCCAAATTCAATCTAAACATTAGCATTCAGGTTAAGTTGCACTTTCCTGTTAAAGAATTTGCATGGATATGTTCCTTCTCTGATGAGTTAGCTAATTGATACATTTGGTACTATATACTATACCATTATGTTTTCCAAGTTTTTTGTTTTCTGATCTACCTCAACAATATTTTAACTTCCCCATGATTAAGTAAAATCTTGTACCTCTTTCAGTCCATGGCACCCAAAGTATTGCTGGGCACAACAGATACTCAGAAAGTACTTGTAGAATGATATAGGGAATAAAATTATTTCTTTACACATAGAGACTTTCTCCTAAGTTATATCTAAAGTTTTATATTGCTTATATTTAAAAGCAGTTAAAAGTTTTGCTTCATAGTCAGGTTTAAATATTGCCTAAAGTTAATATTATCAGATTAAACATGAAAAGTCTTCTGAACTAATTTGAAAAACTTGAGAATGTGCAGGTTTGTAATATAAGATGTGATGCTGAAATAAAATATTTTAAAGATCAACTATACCCAACCTTTGTATATTATCTTTTTAAATTTTATCTGAGAATTTAAAACTTTCAATGTCTAAAAAAAATTAGAAAGAACATTACAAAAATCTTTTATTGCTTCAAATTCTTCATTCTCTCCCAAAGCAATGACCAATCTGTAGTCCTAGTCTATCTAAAACTTATTGTGTTGAACTCATACATTGATAAAATCTCTCTAAAGAGCAATCATCTTTACAATACCTGTAAACATTTAAAATAATATAAACTTTGCCCTAGCAATTTCATTTCAACAAATTTATTCTACTGATATACCTGCACAAGTATACAAATAGGTATAATGTTATTAACTGCAGCTTTGTATATAATAATAAAGAATACTTTTCAGATCCTACATGTCCATCACTAGAGGACTAATTCACTAAATGACAACCCATCTATAAATGTAATACTGTATGGCTATTGAAAAGAAGGAACCATGAAACTAATATGTCAATTATATTTCAATTTTTAAAATAAATAAATGCAAAGAAGGAACCAGTCCTTTTATGTGCAGATATGGAGACAATTTTGAGATACACTGGAAATGAAATAACAAAAATAAAAACAAAGCATAGAGTGGTATATGTCATTACATTCACATTAGTGTGAATCAAAATAGTTGTGCAGTAAATAACCACACCAGGCATTCAAAATAGAAATAAAGCAATGTAAATTCACAGCAGGAAAGAAGGTATACTACTACCTAACCTTAAGGAAAGAAAATATTAGTAAGTTTTACTGAGATTTCAACATTTATGAGTGTAAAGGAGGATATATATATATATACATATATATATATGCATGCACATACACAGAATATCTTTGGAGGGTTACTCAGGAAGCCGGTAAGGGTTGTTGCCTTAAAAAGGGACATAGGACTAATGAATCATTGAACACTACATCAAAAACTAATGATGTACTATATGCTGGCTAACTAAACATAATAAAAGTAAATAAATAAATAAATAATAAAAAGGGACATAGGGAGTAGAAGTAAAAGGAAACTTATATTGTACTGTATATTTATTGGCACTGTTTAAACTTAATAAGAATGTGCATATTATCTATTAGAAAATAAATACTTAATAAAAAGGAAATTAAAGAAAATAAAGCTTACCGGGCTGGACAAGTGGCTTTGTAGAGCTGACAAGACCTGCTCTCCTGCTCACTGATTTTTTTTAACTGGAAACCTTTTCTCCTTGGCCCATACTGACACTCCATTACCACGGCTCTACTCCCTGTGGGCCAAAACCAACTATTGATATTAATTCAAGTATCCATCTGTTCTGGACACTAGAATAAAAATAACTTGGTGGTGGCAATGTCAAAATTTACACTTTCAATTACACAACTTTAAGTAAAGAAAACATCAGTAAGTCTTACTAAGTTGTACAAACACATAAGTTTAAAAGTTTATTATAATATTGACCAAACGTACATTATGGTAAAGAAATTTGCAAATACCACATATACTGAATGTTAACTGATATTTACATACATATGGTTTTTAATAATAAAATTTCACTTTATAAGTAGAAATTAGCAAAAGCTACATTTGTTAGTAAATATTGTCATGTAAAGTTTTATTTCCTTTTATAGTTATTTCCTTATTTCTATTTATACTGTTAAAATATAGTTCCCCCTTATTCACGGGGAATACGTTCCAAGACCCACAGTGAATGCCTGAAAGGATGGATAATACTAAACCCTATATAAACTATGTTTTTTCCTATCCATATATACCTATGATAAAGTTTAATTAATAAATTAGGCACAGTAAAAGATTGACTACAATAACATAAACTAGAACAATTATAACAATATATTGTCATAAAAGTTATATGAATGGGGTCTCTCTCAAAATATCTTATTGTACTGTACTCACCCTCCTTCTGGTGCTGATGTGAGATGATAAAATGCCTACATGATGAGATGAAGTGAGGGGAATGACGAAGGCATTGTGATGTAGCATTAGGCTACTACTGACCTTCTGACAATAGTCAGAAGGAGGATCATCTGCTTCCAGACTGTGGTTGAAAACAGGCAACTGAAACCTTGGAAAGTGAAACTGAGGATAAGGGGGGACTACAATAATGTAATAACCAGCCTCTGAGATGGTCCCCAGTGATCCCTGCCTCCTAGTACTCACGTCCTTGTGTAATTCCCTCCCCTTTAGCATGGGCTAGACTTACTAAGTTACTCCTAACGAATATGGCAGAAGTGACAAGATGTTATTTTTGATATAAGGTTATAAAAAGACTGTGACTTCCATCCTGGGTATGCTCTTGCTCTTGCTTGGATTGGTCTGTCTGGACGAAATCAGCTGTCTGTGGTGAGGCAGCTCTGTGGTGAGGCCCATGTGGCAAGGAATAAGCCACATGAGTGAGCTTGGAAGCAGATCTTCCCCCAGCCAAGCGGTGAGATGCCTGCAGCTCCAGCCAACACCCGAATTGCAGTCTTGTGACAGAACCTGAGGCAGAACCACCGTGCCAAGCCACTCTTGGATTCAGGAATCACAGAAACCAGGAGATAAATGTTTGCTGCTTTCAGCCATCAAGTTTTGGGTAATTTGCTACATAGCAATAGAATATAAATAAATGGATGTAAAAAGTTCATGGCTTTAAATAGAATATCCTATTTTAGGTAGAGTACAGCAAATTTTTCAAATATAAAAAACCGTCATAAGTGAAAGTGTTGATAAAGCCAACATTAAAATTTAAAACTTTAAAAATTTATAAATTTAAGAATTTATATTAGTAAGGGGATAATAAAAATTAATATGCAGAATGTAAAGAGTTACAAGTAATTTTTAAAAATAAAGAACAGAAGAATGGGTAAAGACTATGAATAGGTAATTCAGAAAGAAAAAAAGATATTAAATGAACAAATAGATGTTCAACTTTACTAGTAAATATGGAAATGCAAATTCAAGCAATAGTAAAATACTATCTCACACTCTTCGCATTGGCAAAATAAAAAATTTGACAAGACTCTAAAATAACTTAATCCACTTATGAATTTTAACATCACGAAAAGGTGTTGCACATAGATAGCAATAAGAAGTACACAGCACACCTATGAAGTATTCTTGCAAAATACTTTAATGGAAATTAAATATTCATTTAAATAAGCCTCTAGATCTAACAGTTCACAGGAAATATAGGAGATTTTTAAAAAACATCTTAAACTACAGCACAGAGATGGAATCAACAAAACTCAGACTATAGAAAACTCTACAGGATAAACTACCCGGGGGAAAAGAGGAGAGAAATTTTTAGATGAAAAGAAATTAAGAGATAAAACCAAATGTAATCTGTTTGGATATGAATTTGAACAAACCTATGGAAAAAGAATTATTAGATAAGTAAAGAAATGTGAACATTATTAAGAAATTACTGTTAATTCTTTTAAAAGTATGATAATGTGATTGCCATTGTACATATGTACGTATATAAAGAGTCCTTATCTTTTAGAGATATATACTTTAGTATATAATATATACTTTAGTAATTACAGATAAAGCAACTGGGTATCTGGAATTTGCTATAAAATCATCTTGGAGGTGGGGAATGAAGAAGTGGGTAGGGATATAAATGAGACAAGAATGACCATATGCTAATAGTTGTTGAAGCTGGATGATGGATACTGGAGAGTCATGGGATTTCATATATTATTACCTTTACTTTGAGAGAGATATATATATACATAATACATATTATTATATATATTACCTTTAATATATGTATATGTATACACATATATATATGTGTGTCATATATATACACGAAAATTTCCAGAATACAAAGATTTTTAAAGTCTGACAATGCTAAGTCATAAGGTAAATGAAGGAAAGGGAAATTTTCATACATTGCTGAAACAAGTAAAAATTGGTATAGCTCGTCACTTCCTCATGTACAATTCTGAAACTGAAAAAGTTCAGAAAACAAAATTTTTTGGAACCCATTTGACTGCAAAACCTGACCTGAACTTTATGTGGCTATTTATAATCTTTATTCCTCTTAGTGTTACTATCCATAAAATATTACTGTATTTGATTATGTGATATGGTCAACAGAATACTTGCTGGGAATATTCTGTAATATTATATTACATTCCAAAAATTCTGAAATACATGTTGCCAAAAAAATTTAAAGAAGAGATTTTGTACCTGTACAACCACTTTATTTTTTTTTAATTCTTTTATTAGGTGGTCTTTTTTAAAATTTAAATTCAATTAATTAACATAGAGTGTTATTAGTGTCAGGGGTATAGGTCAGTGATTCATCAGTCCTATATAATACTCAGTGCTCATTACATCAAGTGCCCTCCTTAATGTCCATCACCCAACCACTCCAACCCCCCACCCCCCTCCCCTCCAGCAACCCTCAGTTTATTTCCTATGATTAAGAGTCTCTTCTGGTTTGTCTCCCTCTCTGATTTTGTCTTGTTTTATTTTTACCTCCCTTCCTCTATGCTCCTATTTTGTTTCTTAAATTCCACATATGAGTGAGATCATATGATAATTGTCTTTCTCTGACTGACTTATTTCACTTAGCATAATACCCTCTAGTTTCATCCATTTCTTTGCAAATGGCAAGATTTCTTTTCTTGGTGGGGAGGATGGCTCTTGTACAACCACTTTAGAGAGCAACTTGAGATAATCTTGTAAAGATGAAATGGGCATACTTCACAACTTAGCAATTCCACTTTAATGCATGCACTAACTTATTTACATCTTTTCAACAGAAAACGTATATTGTCAAGGTTTGACTACAGCATTCTTTGTAATACTGAAAATTAGAAACATCCTAAATGATCATTAGTAGAAAAATAATTGTGGTTTGGTCATATGCTGGAATGTTACATAATGGTTACATTAAGATCTGTAAGTATCAATATGGATGGATTTCAAGAAATAAGGGTGAGTGAAAATTTACATAACAATGTCCATAGTTTACTATTTATGAATATTTCAAACTATTCAAAACAACAAAATACATTATTATAAATACAAATATGTGTGGTAAAGTATAAAAATATAGACTGGAAAGATACACAGCAAATTTAAGTAGTGGCTGCCTGTGGAGAGTTAACATGGGGATTAGAACTATGGAGGGGAAAAATGTTCCATCTTTTATAGGAAACTGATGAAACCTGGGTAGAAGAGGTTACATTTATCTCATCTTCCTCCACATATCTTTTTTTACCCTCAGAGGTCCAGGATGAGACTGCAACTCTTCCAGCTGAATCAGTATTTCCATAGTCCTAAAACAAATCACTGTTCTTTATGTTCTTTGGGATTTGATTAGCCCTAGGGTGAATCTCTGGAAATTGTTTGAAACTCCACCACTTTAGGGGCATCTGGCTGGCTCAATCAGTGGAGCATGCGACTCTTGATCTCAGGGTTGTGAGTTCGAACCCCACGTTGGGAATACAGATTATTTAAAAATAAAATCTTTAAAAAACACACACACAAAACTCTACCATTTTAATACACACTAGCCCAATATTTAAGAATAGTATATGTAACACATTTGATGCTTGAGAATCCTAATATTGGAATTCTGTATGCTAGAACTCCAGATTGCATACAAATTCTACACAGTAACTCCAGAGTTATAAACTATAAGCTATATAAAATGAATACAAATTTGTCCCACAAGATGAATCAAGAGAGAAGAGAATATCTGGACTGGAAAAAAAAAATCCAACAGATATACATATTTAGAATAATAAAATTGCTCTATTAATATTTTTATTTTCTATTTATCAGCATAATATCTAAAGAAGTATTATTTATTCTAATGTATTAAAATATAATTTCATAAAATAATTGGTCACATTTACTTCAAGTTTTCTTTTTAATTTAATATGCACTTTCATCAATTAATATTCAGTTGCCATCCACAAAAATGAAAATTTTGGTAGAAAATTTTTATGAAAACCACATTTTCACAATGGATCATGGCTGTGAACCTTTTAAAATAATTCTTTTAAAAAGTACCTGCATTGGGGTGCCTGGGTGGCTCAGTTGGTTGAGCGACTGCCTTCAGCTCAGGTCATGATCCTGGAGTCCCGGGATCGAGTCCCACATCGGGCTGCCTGCTCAGCGGGGAGTCTGCTTCTCCCTCTGACCCTCCCCCCTCTCGTGCTCTCTCTTTCTCTCTCAAATAAATAAATAAAATCTTAAAAATAAATAAATAAATAAAAAGTACCTGCATTGACAAATGGGATTCCATCATATGGGACATACTGAGATTTCCACATCAAGCGTGTAGCTGGCTTGGCTGGGCTTGGAGATTGGCGGGTCCCCCAAACACTCTGTGTTTGCTGCTTATGAAATGTTAGGACACTTTCTAATTCAGTCTCACTTACACAGTAGCCACGGTATGAATCTCCAATTTTCTGCATGTAGTAGAAATTAAATAACAAAATTATTAGCAAGTATGTTTCATTGTACAAAAAATTTAATGAAGTGGTTGTCCAAGATAAAAGACTCATCAATTTTCGGGCGCCTGGGTGGCTCAGTTGGTTAAGCGACTGCCTTTGGCTCTGGTCATGATCCGGGAGTCCCCAGGATCGAGTCCCGCATCGGGCTCCCTGCTCGGCGAGGAGCCTGCTTCCCCCTCTGACCGTCCCCCTTCTCGTGTACTCTCTCTCTCATTCTCACTCTCTCAAAACAAATAAATAAATAAATCTTTAAAAAAAAAAAGACTCATCAGTTTTCAAAAGAGAATGTCATTCTCCCCTCAGATCAATGATCTTGTACAACCAGTGTATCTGATTTGCTTTCAACTAGCATTATCAAATAGATATTCTCCAATATTTGTTAGAGAATATAATGTCAAACTCATGGCCACACCATCAGTATCAAAATCTTGCTTGAGAGAAATAATATTTAGGAAGGATAGTTTGAAGAATATATTGTGTATCTATTCTTCCATATATTTAAAATTCTACCCCTTTTATGCCGATCCAACCAGATCGGCATAAAACTAGCCATAGAGTACTGGTTCCTGATGGGGCTTCTTTTGCTAAAATTAATTTTGAGGGGCGCCTGGGTGGCTCAGTCGTTAAGCATCTGCCTTCGGCTCAGGTCGTGATCCCAGGGTCCTGGGATCAAGCCTCGCATCGGGCTCCCTGCTCCGCGGGAAACCTGCTTCTCCCTCTCCCGCTCCCCCTGCTTGTGTTCCCTCTCTCGCTGTGTCTCTCTCTCTCAAATAAATAAAATTTAAAAAAAATAAATAAATAAAATTAAATTAATTTTGATAGGACATGAATCTTTTTGAAAGCCTATGAAAATTGTGATGGTATCTCCTAAATGGTATCAAAGAATTTGCTCATTATATCAAGATTCTTTTTAAGAAGATCCTTCTCTGAGAGAAAATCCTGTCTGAACTTAGTACCAAAAATAGATAATCATTGGGGCGCCTGGGTGGCTCAGTTGGTTAAGCGACTGCCTTCGGCTCAGGTCATGATCCCGGAGTCCCAGGATCGAGTCCCGCATCGGGCTCCCGGCTCAGCGGGGAGCCTGCTTCTCCCTCTGACCTTCTCCCCTCTCATGCTGTTTCTCTCTCTCTCTCTCTCTCTCTCAAATAAATAAATAAAATCTTTAAAAAAAAAATAGATAATCATTTTATTTTATGGAAATTAACTTAATTACTTTTATCTAATGGAAACAGACTAACTGGGTTTTCTCTTTTTGAAATGTAGATGCTTAAATTATAGACAAGTGTATGTGTACATGTGCACATATATGTGTGTGTGTGTACATACAGTTCATTAAGATAAACATTTCTTACTTCCATTTTATGGTTACATTCTTGTTTTTCTTTACTCTTTAGTTCCCATTTTAATTTCCACCTTGCTAATATATTTTATGTATTTTTGTAAGCTGTCTTCATTCTTCCTGAAACAAGGAAGGTGTAAATAAATCATGTAAATAAATTGATATTATCTACCCATAAGCATGTAAGTAACCCTCAACGAAAGTAGAAGCTTTTTCTATACCAAAAGAGAAAAATCTATTAACTGTGATCTCCTACACTAAAATGCATACAGACCTAGAACTGACTCCATGTATGTTTCTCCATTAAAGGGAACAAGAGCAGAGATGTGGGACTAGGAATCTTTTTACTAGACTAAATTTTTCACCCTGCAGGAATACATTTAAAAAGAAGAAGGTATGGGGCGCCTGAGTGGCTCAGTTGGTTAAGGGTCTGCCTTCAGCTCAGGTCATGATCCCAGGGTCCTGGGATCGAGTCCCACACCGGGCTCCCTGCTCAGCAGGGAGTCTGCTCCTCCCTCTCCCTCTCCTTCTGCCCCTTCCCTGGCTTGTGCTCTCTCTCACACTCTCTCTCTCTCAAATAAATAAAATCTTAAAAATAATTAATTATTTATTTATTTAATTAAGGAAGGTATCAAAATACTGTTGTGGCTGTACTTTGGGTCATAATAAGAAGAGATAATCTGATGCCAAGCAATACATTATCTCCAATTTCCCCTAAAAATAACAAAAATGCCTATGCTTACAAATATTTTTCTAGCCCAGATATTTCTGCATCAAAATATCGACTACAGGGGCGCCTGGGTGGCTCAGTCATTAAATGGCTGCCTTTGGCTCAGATCATGATCCTAGGGCCCTGGGATCAAGTCCCACATCGGGCTCCCTGATCCATGGGAAGCCTGTTCTCCCTCTCCCACTCCCCCTGCTTGTGTTCCTGCTCTCACTATCTCTGTCTCTGTCAAATAAATAAATAAAATCTTTAAAAAAATAATGACTACAAATAAAAGTAGAAACATAAAGTCCAGCTTATTAACATTTTTTAACAAATAAAATGAACAGAGTTTATAATGTTGTCAATGAAAGGAAAAATTCAGAATTAGTACAATATAACCAGGTCTCTATCAGAAGATAAAAAGTTTAACACAGTTTTGAAATTTATTCAACTAGTGTATTTTGTTCAAACCTAAAAAATGCTTATGGAAAAACATAATTAAATGAAAAGTCAAAAAGTAAAAAGGATTATTAAATACACATATATATTTTATTTTTTATTTCTTTATTTTTTTTTAAAGATTTTATTTATTTATTTGACAGAGAGAGATAGCGAGAGCAGGAATACAAGCAGGGGGAGTGGGAGAGGGAGAAGCAGGCTTCCTGCTGAGCAGGGAGCCCAATGTGGGACTCGATCCCAGGACCCTGGGATCATGACCTGAGCCGAAGGCAGACACTTAACAACTGAGCCACCCAGGCGCCCTACACACATATATTTTAAAGACTTTACTTATTTAAGAGAGAGAGCATGAGTGGAAGGGAGGGGCAGAGGGAGAGGAATAGGGACAAGCAGACTCCCCAATAAGTGTGGAGCCCAATGTGGGGCTCAATCCCAGGACCCTGAGATCATGACTTGAGCCGAAGTCAGATGCTCAACAGACTGAGCCACCCAGGTGCCCCTATTAAACAATATTTTGAAGGAAAATGCAGAAAACATTTCTTCAGCCATTAACCAAAATTGTTTTTCACTATTGATACAGCTTAGGAGATTAGAAAGACTCCTTCACTGATGGAGATATTCATTCTGTTGGACAGAATGAAACTAGAAGAGATTTTAACTAGTTTCTTATAAGATGTATGACATGAGGTAAGCCACACAATGCAAATTGTTGTAAAACAAGGTGATTTGACTACATAATTGCTAATGCTTTAACGTCTATAGCATTCTGTAAAGTTTATAATAACAATTTTAAAAACCCTCATCAGGGGTGCCTGGGTGGCTCAGTTCTTAAGCATCTGCCTTCGGCTCAGGTCATGATCCCAGGGTCCCGGGATGGAGCCCCATATCGGGCTCCCTGCTCTGCAGGGAGCCCGCTTCTTCTCTCCCACTCCCCGTGTTTGTGTTCCCTCTCTCACTGTGTCTCTCTCTGTCAAATAAAGAAATAAAATCTTTTAAAAATAAATAAATAAATAAATAAATAAATAAATAAATAAATAAAAACCCTCATCAGGGACACCTGGGTGGCTCAGTAGGTTGAGCATCTGACTCTTTTTTTTTGAGCATCTGACTCTTGATTTCAGCTCAGGTCATGATCTCAGGGTCCTGGGATTGAGCCCTGCAACAGCTCTGTGTTCAACAGGGAGTCGGCTTGAGATTCTCTCTTTCCCTCTACCCCTTACCCTGCTCACGCTCTCTCTCTTTCTTTAAAATAATAAATAAATCTTTAAAAAAAAAAAACTTTCATCAAACAACAGTAATAGTTCCTTTTGGAAACCAGTGAAAAACTGTAACAAAAAGTGTGAGGGAAAAAATCTATCTACCTACCTATACATACAGACTTTCATAAATATGACTTAGAAAAGCAACAATAGTAAAAATGTCCTACTCAGTATAATACATCACATCATTAGACTTTATTATTAGAACTTTTCACAAAATATTAAAACTGAAGTAATGTTTTCCCCTTCTATTTTGAAAATTTGTTTAAAATAATGAGGCATTTTAATAATTAGTCATCATCACGTATGGTTTACATGTACAAGAGCATGGTCCCTTCCCTCAAAAAGTGTATAGTCTAAATGCTATGTAATGATGAACAAATAATTAAGCAAATAATTTACAACAGTAATGACAATAAATACCAAAGAACTTAAAGAGATAAATAGGTAAAAGCTAAAATAATCATTATTTACAGAAAAGATATATAGGACTTGCATTAGGATTTAAAGAATAGTTAGAAAGGTAAGCAGAAGAAAATAAAATATATTAGGAAATGGAAATAAAAACAAGTCAAGGCAGAGAGAAGGGAAGATTCTGAAGTGTTTGTACAAAGTAGGAAGATAAGGCTAACAAGAATGAATGATGAGCTGCAGAAAAGTAGTAAATAAAGTAGGATAAAGTAATACCAGATTATGCAAGACCTTGAAAGCTATGTATAGTGGTAAATGATATGGAAAAAATAACACTGAACTTACTGGGCAATGAGAAAAAAATAATGAAAGCAATATTTAAAGACAAGTAGTTTTAGAAAACTAGATAGTAGGGCCCCGAAATGGAAGAGTCAAAGAGATTAGAAGGAAGGTTGTCACTATAATTAAGTTCAAGGTGGAGCGCCTGGGTGGCTCACTCGTTAAGTGGCTGCCTTCAGCTCAGGTCATGATCCCAGAGTATTGGGATTGAGCCTGGCATCAGGCTCCCTGATCAGTGGGAAGCCTGCTTCTCCCTCTCCCACCACCCCTGCTTGTGTTTCCTCTTGCTGTCTCTCTCTCTCTGTCAAATAAATAAAAAAAATCTTTAAAAAAAAAGTTCACAGTAACACAAGTCTGTGGAAGAGGTAGCCCAACCACCTCACAAAAAAAGAGATACTTTAAATGAAAAACTAAAAGAATCAGGTGACTATTTTAGTATGGGAAAGGAAGAAATTAATCTAAAACACTGTGCCATGGGGCGCCTGGGTGGCTCAGTTGGTTGGGTGACTGCCTTCAGCTCAGGTCATGATCCTGGAGTCCCAGGATTGAGTCCCGCATCGGGCTCCCTGCTCAGTGGGAAGTCTGCTTTTCCCTCTGACCCTCCTCCCTCTCATGTTCTCTCTCTATAATTCTCTCTCTCTCTCAATAAAAAAAAAAAAAAATCTTTAAAAAATAAAACACTGTGCCTGAATGTCTAAGGAAAAGGTATTTGTCATTAAACAGACAAGGAATTTAGGAAGTAGAGCTAGTTGTGACATGGTAATTTCTGTTTAGCACATGGCGAATTTGAGGTGAAATTCAAGTAAAGCTTCGAGTAAGTAGCTTGAGATCTGGGGCAAGACAAAGGGCATAATTAAAGAACCAGTGATATTGATTTGGAAATCATTTTTATAAAAATGAGAGGTGAAAGTTAACAAAGTTGATCAGTTTTCCAAGGGATAAAATGTAGAGAAATAAGACAAGGTCAAACAGCAAAACTTAAAGAGTTTCCATTGAGAATATGAAAAGAAATAAGCAAAAGTAAAGAAAGAGAAGTGATGGTCAAAAAATAAAAAGTAGAAAAACATGATAATGAAGTTTCATGGAAGACAATAGAAAAGAGCTGTAAGAGAAGAAATGACAGTGAAGTATGAAGGGATTTATATGATCTCTGCTTTAACAGAGCTTACAATCTCTAAGGAATAAAAGAATAGATGCGATCAGAGTTAGCACAAACAAAGTATTACAGATACAGTCTATTAGTTGTACTCAAAAGTGGACATTTTGGGATGCATTATAGTGATAATCAATTTAGTGATTCTAGGTAAGGATTATTTTTAACTCACCTCACAGCTCCTAAGACGGCAGGCCCACATAGGTGTATTAGAAGAAAGTGGCTGGAGAGGAGCCAGAAACGGTTCTTCAAGCATTCTGGGACAAGGGAGGAATAAACATAAATATATATTACAAGTTACACACACACAAACACACATACAACATTCAACTGTTTTATCCCCTTAGCCAGTGTTACAGACAATATATTGAAGTCATCAATAAGAAACTGTAATAATAGGGGCACCTAGCTGGCTCAAATGGTATAGCATGCGACTCGATCTTGGAGTCATGAGTTCAAGCCCCAAGCTGGGTGTAGAGTTTACTTAAAAAAATAAATAAATAAAATCTTTTTTTCTTTTTTAAGATTTTATTTATTTATTTGACAGAGAGAGAGACAGCGAGAGAGGGAACACAAGCAGAGGGAGTGGGAGAGGGAGAAGCAGGTTTCCTGCTGAACAGGGAGCCTGAGGCAGGGCTTGATCCCAGGACCCTGTGATCATGACTTGAGCCAAAGGCAGATGCTTAACGACTGAGCCACCCAGGTGCCCCATAAATAAATAAAATCTTAATTGTAGTAATAATAGAGTTGGTGGGTGTATTAATTATAATTTTCTTTAAACATCACTCTTTTATTAACTGCTAAAGCAAAGGCCTAAGTTTCTTCTTCCAAATATCTGTAGCCCCAACAAATTTAAGAGTTTTATATATCTCCCTCAAAGCTTATTTTGTAGTCTTCTCATTATATAATTGTTTTTCATTTAACAAAAAAATGAGCCAATAAAACATCTTCAGGTGACTTGTTAAGAGTTAACATATTATGTCAAGCTCTAAGACTAAATGTCATAAACATTGTGTTAATTTTTAAATATTGTCTTAAACAGTTAAAAGAATAAAAATAATTCAAAACCTATGTCTATATTTGCCTAAATTATTATAAACAATGTTAAGGCAAAAATAAAAGCTGAAACATGTTAACAAAAACACTTAAATACTTTACCAGAGAAATTAAATGCATAAAAAGATGATGAACCATTAAACATTCTAGGAACTAGAATGGATATTTCTTTATTCTAAAAACACTATCAGTGGGGCACTTGGGTGGCTCAGTTGTTAAGCATTTGCCTTCAGCTCAGGTCATGATCCCGGTGTTCTGGGATCGAGCCCTGCGTCGGGCTCCCTGCTCCGTGGGAAACCTGCTTCTCCCTCTCCCACTGCCCCTGCTTATGTTCCCTCGCTCACTGTGTCTCTCTGTCAAATAAATAAATAAAAATCTTTAAAAAGATAAAAAAAAATAAAAACCCTATTAGTGTCAGATGTTTTCAAATTGCTTCAAAAGATAACAGGCAAGGGGTGCCTGGTGGCTCAGTCGTTAAGCGTCTGCCTTCAGCTCAGGGCATGATCCTGGGGTCCTGGGATCTAACCCTGCATTGGGCTCCCTGCCCAGTGGAGAGCCTGCTTCTCCCTCTCCTTCTGCTGCTCCCCCTGCTTGTGCTCTCTCTCTCTCTCAAATAAATAAATAAATAAAATATATACATATATAAAGATAACAGGCAAGTGTCACTGAGGAAAAGTAGCACTTTAGACATTATGGCTTCTAGGATAGTCTCCTAGTTGCCAAGATGCAATTAAAATAATTAAAGCTATTTGATAATTTGATGAGTTTATTCTATTTCCTGAATTTCTGATCTTTTCTATAGTCAGCCCACTTTAGATATGATAGTTAAAAAAAAGATTTCCATGATAATTTCAAAACATGAACTCCTCTTTCCCACTGACTCACCTGGCCACTGTCTTTTTGGGTAATGTGACAGATGCTTGTGGATGAAGAGTGTAATTACTGGTATTATCCGCTAGAACATCCACTCTTACAGTTGGTAAATTTCTATCACTGGGTTTCTCTTCAGAGACATCTTAACAGCAGTAACAAGAACAAAACAACATCAGTATCTTGAATAAGACCACGAGAATGTAACTAACTAGGACTCATACATTTGAAATAGGAAAGGCAAGATATATTCTAAAGATAGCAAAACTTATAATGCTTTGAGAATTTCCCTAATAACTTGTTTAGTTTCAAATTATAATACTGAGTACTGAAATTTTGTAATTAAATTTTTGAAGCTCATACTGAACAGCTAGGATATAAAAGTGGCAGAATAGTTATGTGAATAGTTTCATAATATATAATGTAAATGTAAAACTCTTTTTCATTTTTTTCATTTTTTTAATTTAAATTCAATTAGCCAACATATAATACATGATTAGTTTCAGACTCTTTTTCATTTCTATATATGTTTATCATTTTGTCTGCAAACTTCTTAAGTTTTAACTATTAACAAAGGTGAAGAATCATATCACTAAGGTAAAAATATCTACTCTAAAACATTAGCTATGAATGAACAATGAAACAGTGTAGCTATGGTGTTAGAAAAGAGATTGAAACAGATGGAAAAGGAAGGGAAGTAAAAGAAGAGAACTAACAGGGATATTATCTAATAGGTTAAGAAAGAGTAAAAATATGGGGAGCATAATTCTCCTTTCTGAATCTGAAGGAAAAAGAAAAGAGGAAAAGAGCAAAGAGGATGAAAAGAATAGTTAAATAAAAGAGTAATGAGTCACATGGCTAACAATAATATTGATAAAAATATAAATGTAAAAATTTCTTCAAAGCTATTAGCACTATATTCTTGTTATTGTTGCTGTTATTATTACTGTTATTGTAATAAAGAAGAATTTATTTTATGCTCACTGGTCATTTGGGAGGAAGCAAGAGTCAACCAGCTTCACAGAATTCCAAAATGAAATAGACAGCTAACCTAGACAGGAGTTGAAAAATGAACTTGAAATTTATTTGGGCTAAGAAACTTTTTCTAATTATTCAGTTCACAATCTTACCCAAAGAGATCAATTTTAGCACTGACTTTCATGAGGTGATTTTTCTGAAATATACATTTGTTCTTTAAAACATTCTCAAATCCCTTATATCCCATGATTACTCACCCCGAGGACTATTCACATCCACAAGCTGCCCCTGAGGTATAATCACTTGTGCCATTCCTGTCTGGGTAGATGGAATTACACGTAGCACCTGTCCATTTTCTGACGGGTTGGCAACAATCATCTTGGAAGCATTAAAAAAGAAATCAAATGCATAAGCCAACAATGATTGAACAGAATTATTACTTAAATAGATGATTAAAGACATGCCTATCTGTATGGTAGATACTATCATTTCCCTCATTTTGTAGATGAAAACACTGAGGTACTTAAAAATTTTTTTCCAAAATTTCGGAACTGGTAAGTGGTAAAGCTAGGATTCAAAAAAAGCAGTTTGACCCTATGTCCTATGATCTTAACCACCTATGGTCTTAATCATTACACATGTATGAGGTCTAATTACTTAATAATGTGAACAAGGCTCTGACTGGACTTAATATATTTACTTTTTTCTACTTACTATATTATATCCCTATGTGTTTGAATTATTTGTGTGGTAATCATTTGCTCATTTTAAGTCACTTTCATTAGTTTAAAAACAGTACCTTGTTATATGTCTAATTAAATAAATTTATTTTTATATCTTTGAATTTATATATTTCCTGTCTTGGTACATAAGGAATACCACAGAATGCCCCAAAAGTCTGAAAATATAAGAAAAATCATTTGTTTATTATTTCCTTTTTTTCCTTCAGTTTAACAACTGAATCCATTATATTAAATTTAGAGAACTGTCAATTAAAAGGGTGTCTGAAGCTGAAGAAAAACAATTTTAAGCCTATCATTTGAAAAATAAAACTAATATATTATTTGAAAATAAATTTATCCTAAATTTCCAGACTTTTCAGACACCCTGTAAACTTTATTACCTAATATACTACTCTTCTATTGACACAGTGTTACTGTTTTACCCAAAGTCGCTAGCCTCAATTCTCCCTCAAATAATATTTTGCAATCATTCCAACCCACTTTCCAAGACTGCCTTTTTGCTACGTAAAACATGAAAACATTACTGATGCCTGATAGAGACTGCAGTCCTAGTTTTAAGAGGGTCATTTGAGAAAATTTTAATTTGGAAAAAAAAAACTAAATTTGTAAAAAACTTCAACAAAGTAGATGCTTTAAGTATAATCGTAAACATCTCCCAGAAATTAAGAGTAGGAATTGTTTCCCTCCCCCAATGCTTATCAAGTTTCTTGAGATAAAAATATCTTGACTACCTCTTATCACTTCATCATGAAAAAGCAACTGTAAACTCTGATGATAACTGCTTTACATTTGTTGAGTGCATACTAAGTGACAAGACTTTACATGCATTACTGTATTTAATCCTCATCACATGTATATGAAGCATATACATTTTATACTTTAGAATACTGTCATAAGAGGTTATACAACTCATGCAGATAACAGAGAGTTATACAGTGGTGAGTTGAAATTCAAACCCAAATTCAAACAACTGTTCTGTACTGCTTCCCATTATCTGATGATGTTATTTAACCTAAAAAAAAAAGACAAAAAATACTGCTGGACTTTAAAAGGCAACAGTAATAACATGATTTTAAATTCTTTTCTCCTAAATAAGATTAAACGTTTGTGAAAAATATTCCATTCATTCTTAGAAAATAAGACTGCTCTGGTTACTACTAAATCCAAATAAAACACATATATTTACAATTTATTCAATCATATGAAAATTTCATAATTAAGAATGATCTGTGGAATATCATCTTAATGTTGAAAATATGTTTCCTATGCATAGTGGAGAAGAGTCTCCTCCATTTCCTCTTTCTTAGCTAATTCTACGTGGTACCTAAAAAACTATTTTCAGTTCATGTAATTTGATAATGGTGACAATAATATTACTTTTCCTATTTAAAAAAAGTTAATTATTTTTAATCTTTGCTATGAAAACAGAGTTTTGAAAAGTCATCTGTTGCAATGCATTCTATTTGAGGCAGACCATAAACATTATCAGAAAACCTTGAAAAAAAAAGGAAAACCTTGGCTAATAAGTAGTCATATTTACTGGGCTTTGTGTACTGTACAATACATCTAATATATCCAAAATATCATCCCTGCTTTGCTTTATAACTTCTTCATCTGTTGCAGATTCACTCACTACTGAATCTTTACTACTTCCTTGATAACTTCTACATTAAAAAAACATTAAAAAAACATTAAAAAGAGCTCCATTTGGTGGAAGATGTTGAAAATGGGAAAGACCATGCATATATAGGGGCAGGGGTTTTATGAGAAATCTCTGTATCTTCCATTCAGTTTTGCTTTGAACCTAAAACTGCTCTAAAAAATAAAGTCTATTAAAACAAACAAAAACCCTGAAAAGTTCCACTAAGTTTCCCAAAACATCACCACTTTCTGATCATTGGTTCTTTGAAGAAAATACTTTTTTTTTTTAAGATTTTATTTATTTATTTGAAAGAGTGAGACAGCGAGAGAGAGAACACAAGCAGTGGGAGTGGGAGAGGGAGAAGCAGGCTCCTTGCTGAGCAGGGAGCCCAATGGGGGGCTTGATCCCAGGACACTGGGGTCATGACCTGAGCCAAAGGCAGCCGCTTAACGACTGAGCCATCCAGGCGCCCCAAAAATACTTTCTTATACTCTATGTTTCTTACTCTTATTCCATGCTTCATGCCATAGGTTTTCTATTTCATAGCTTCAGATAACCCTCTGTATCATCTCTTACCCCAGACAATGTAAAATCACCGTTATGACCACTTTGTAAAGAAAGTTTAATAAAATTGCAAAGAGAATGGGAACTCTAACATTTTTTAGACTCAAACAAATAAATGACTTTAATGTGCTTTTTAAGAAAGCTACCATGTGTAAAATGATAACCCTTCATACAATAGCATATAGATTAACTCTAGAATGCTCTAGACTAGAAACAAAAGAGGGATTAATTTTAGGTAAAATGGTTGCTCACTTGTGATGTAATTTATAATTGAAATTATAATTTTTGAAATAATTTTTATTATGTAATTAATAAATATCCATTGTAGAAAATTTGGAAAAAGGTAAACAAAAGATACATTATTCTTCATATTATTAATGTAAGGATATTCTTATTAACCAGAGAGAAACTTAGAAGTTTTTCTCAGTAATTCTCTTTAATTTCAATCAAAACCATCTTTTATTTCTTCTATTCAAACTATAAACTTGGCCATGAATACTTCAGCTAACAGTTTAAAGCGGCATTCTCACCTTTATATGCATGACACATACATATCTACCCATCAGCAAGTATGTCTAACTGCCAGTATACCACTGGTACCTCCACTGCTTTCTTTTGCTTCAAGAAGGCATACCAGCCTGTGGCAAGCAAGTTAGTGACTGATAGGTAGATAAAGCAATAACCTTGAGTTCAGTCAAATGTATACAAAAAATAAATATAAGTTACATGTAAACTCTGGCACTAGTACAGATTTTGATACATTTCCAATTGATCTTAAAGTGACAATGTACCTAGATGAAGTGACTGGTAAATAGTGGTTTAACATTCTATTAGTAGTCCTAAAAGAAAATCTTTTGAAATCTTCGCATAACAAAATGAACGTCATGAAAACAGTATTTTCAAAGCAATGCAAGTCAACAGTTTCAAGAAATTAAGGTCATCTAGTAAGGTTAATATATTTTGCTAAACAGCATAAAACTGGTTATTTATAAAATACACTCACCATTTGTGCATTAGAATCCCCCAATGACTGGAGTTCATATTGAATAGGCTGCTCATTTTGGTCCACTAGATGGAAGTGTTCTGCAGAAAGAGTCTGTGTCTGAGTCAGGGCCCCTGGTATATTCTGTGATGTGAGTGAATTATCTGCTTCATGAGAGGTGATGGGTAAAACTCTAGGAGAACCATTCTGTCCAAAGGAAGGATCCCTGGAGTCCATACAGGTTAGATGCTTTTGCAAAGGAAAAAAAAAAGCACATGGGTGTTTGTAAAATATGTCACAATTTGTATTTTTTAATTTTTTAAAAAGATTTTTTATTTTTATTATGTTCAGTTAGCTACCATATAGTACATCATTAGCTTTTGATGTAGTGTTCAATGATTCATTAGTTGCATATAACACCCGTGCTCATCACATGTGCCCTCCTTAATACCCAACACCCGGCTACCTCATCCCCCTATCCCCCTCCTTTCTGAAACCCTCAGATTGTTTCCCCGAGTCCACAGTCTCTCATGGTTCATCTCTCCCTCCGATTTCCAACCCCCTTCATTTCTCCCTTCCTTCTCCTAATGTCCTCCATGCTCTTCCTTATGTTCCACATATGAGTAAAACCATATGGTAATTGTCTTTCTCTGCTTGACTTATTTCACTTATATAATCCCCTTCAGTTCCATCCATGTTGATGCAAATGGTGGGTATTCATCCTTTCTGATGACTGAGTAATATTCCACTGTATATATGGACCACATCTTCTTTATCCATTCATCTGTTGAAGGCCATCTCGGCTCCTTCCACAGTTTGGCAATTGTGGACATTGCTGCTATGAACATGGGCGTGCATGTGCCCCTCCTTTTCACTCCATCTGTATCTTTGAGGTAAATACCTAGTAGTACAATTGCTGGGTCATAGGGTAGCTCTATTTTTAACATCTTGAGGACCCTCCATACTGTCTTCCAGAGTGGCTGCACCAGCGTGCAGTCCCACCAACAGTGTAGGAGGGTTTCCCTTTCTCCACTTCCTAACATTTGTTGTTGCTTGTTTTGTTAATTTTTGCCATTCTAATTGGTGTAAGGTGGTATCACATTGTGGTTTTGATTTGTATTTCCCTGATGGCTAGTGATGTTGAACATTTTTTCAGGTGTTTGTTAGCCATTTGAATGTCTTCTTTGGAGAAATGTCTGTTCATGTCTTCTGCCCATTTTTTGACTGGATTATTTGTTTTTTGGGTGTTGAGTTTGAGAAGTTCTTTTTTTTTAATATTTTATTTATTTATTTGACAGAGAGAGACACAGCGAGAGAGGGAACACAAGCAGAGGGAGTGGGAGAGGGAGAAGCAGGCTTCCTGCGGAGCAGGGAGCCCCATGCAGGGCTCGATCTCAGGACCCTGAGACCACGACCCGAGCTGAAGGCAGATGCCTAATGACTGAGCCACCCACGTGCCCCGAGTTTGAGTTCTTTATAGATCTTGGATACAAGCCCTTTATCCATAATGTCATTTGCAAATATCTTCTCCCATTCTGTGGGTTGCCTCTTAATTTTGTTGATTGTTTCCTTTGCTGTGCAGAAGCTTTTTATCTTGATGAAGTCCCAAAAGTTCATTTTTGCTTTTGTTTCCCTTGCCTTTGGAGATGTGTCTTGAAAGAAGTTGCTGTGGCCAATGTCAAAGAGGTTACTGCCTGTGTTCTCCTCTAGGATTTTGATGGATTCTTGTCTCACATTTAGGTCTTTCATCCATTTTGAGTTTATCTTTGTGTAAGGTATAAGAGAATGGTTGTTTCATTCTTCTGCATGTGACTGCCCGATTTTCCCAGCATCATTTATCGAAGAGACTGTCTTTTTACCATTGGATATTCTCTCCTGATTTGTTGAAGATTAGTTGACCATAGAGTTGAGGGTCCATTTCTGGGGTCTCTATTCTGTTCCATTGATCTATGTGTCTGTTTTTATGCCTAAACCATGCTGTCTTGACGATCATATAGTTTGAAGTCAGGCATTGTGATGCCCCCAGCTTTGGTTTTCTTTTTCAACAATCCCCTGGCGATTTGGGGTCTTTTCTGGTTCCACACAAATTTTAGAATTGTTTGTTCCAGCTCTGTGAAAAATGTCGATGGTATTTTGAAAGGGATTGCATTGAAAATGTAGATTACTCTGGGCAGCATAGACATTTTCACAATGTTTATTATTCCAATCCATGAGCATGGAATGTTTTTCCATCTCTTTGTGTCTTCCTCAATTTGTTTCATAAGTGTTCTGTAATTTGTAGACTACAGATCCTTTACCTCTTTGATTAGGTTTATTCCTAAGTACTTTATGGGGTTTGGTGCTATTGTAAATGGAATCAATTCCTTAATTTCTCTTTCTTCAGTCACATTGTTAGTGTATAGAAATGCAACTGATTTCTGTGCATTGATTTTGTATCCTGCCATGTTGCTGAATTGTAGTATGAGTTCTAGTAATTTGGGGGTGGAGTCTTTTGGGTTTCCACATAAAGTATCACGTCATCTGCGAAGAAATTTTGATTTCTTCCTTGACAATTTGAATGCCTTCTATTTCTTTTTGTTGTCTGATTGCCGAGGCTAGGACTTCTAGTACTATGTTGAACAAAGGTGGTGAGAGTGGGCATCCCTGTCATTATGTTCAGTTAGCTACTGTATAGTACATCATTAGCTTTTGATGTAGTGTTCCTGATCTTAAGGGAAAAGCTCTTAGTTTTTTCCCCACTGAGAATGATATTCGCTGTGGGCTTTTCACAGATGGCTTTTATGATATTTAGATATATTCCCTCTACCTCTATATTTTGAAGAGTTTTAATCAGGAAAGGATGCTGTATTTTGTCAAATTCTTTTTCTGCATCAATTCAGAGGATCATATGGTTCTTGTCTTTTCTTTTATTAATGTGCTCTATCACGTTGATTGATTTGCGAATGTTGAGCCACCCTTGCATGCCAAGAATAAATCTCACTTGGTCGTGGTGAATAATCCTTTTAATGTACTGTTGGATCCTATTGGCTAGAATCTTGTTGAGAATTTTGGCATCCAAGTTCATCAGGGATATTGGTCTATAATTCTCCTTTTTGATGGTGTCTTTGCCTGGTTTGGGGATCAGGGTAATGCTGGCTCATAGAACGAGTTTGGAAGTTTTCCTTCTGTTTTTATTTTTTGAGACAGCATCAGTAGAATAGGTATTATTACTTCTTTAAATGTTTGGTAGAATTCCCCTGGGAATCCTCTGGCCCTGGACTCTTGTCTTTTGGGAGGGTTTAGATTACTGCTTCAATTTCATTACTGATTATTGGTCTACTGAGATTGTCTATTTTTTCCTGTTTTAGTCTTGGTAGTTGTTTTTTTTTAAGATTTTATTTATTTATTTGACAGAGAGAGAGAGAGAGACAGTGAGAGTGGGAACACAAGGAGAAGGAGTGGGAGAGGGAGAAGCAGGCTTCCCACTGAGCAGGGGGCCTGATGCAGGGCTCAATCCCAGGACCCTGGGATCATGACCCAAGCCAAAGGCAGATGCTTAACAACTGAGCCACCCAGGCACCCCTCAGTCTCGGTAGTTTATGTTTCCAGGAAGGCATCCATTTCTTCCATGTTGCTTAATTTTTTGGCATATAGTTGCTGGTAATAATTTCTAATAATTGTTTCTATTTCCTTGGTGTTAGTCGTGATCTCTCCCCTTTCATTCATGATTTTATTAATTTGGGTCCTTTCTCTTTTCTTTTGGATAAGTCTGGCCAGAGGTTTATCGATCTTATTAATTCTTTCAAAGAACCAGCTTCTAGTTTCATTGATCTGTTCTACTGTTTTTGTTTTCTATTTCATTGATCTCTGCTCTAATCTTTATTACTTCTCTTCTCCTACTTGGTTTAGGTTTTATTTGCTGTTCTTTCTCCAGCTCCTTTAGGTGTAAGGTTAGTTTATGCAATTGGGATTTTTCTACTTTTTTGAGAAAGGCTTGGATGGCTATGTATTTCCCTCTTAGGACCGCCTTTGTAGTATCCTACAGGTTTGGGAGATGTGTTTTCGTTCTCATTAGTTTCCATGAGTTCTTTAAGTTCTTCTTTAATTTCCTGATTGACCCAATCATTCTTTAGCAAGATGCTCTTTAACTTCCAAGTGTTTGAACTCCTTCCAAATTTCTTCTTGTGATTGAGTTCCAGTTTCAAAGCACCATAGTCTGATAACATGCAGGGAATAATCTCAATCTTTTGGTATTGGTTGAGACCTGATTTGTGACCCAGCATGTTGTCTATTCTGGAGAAAGTTCCATGTGTATTCGAGAAGAATGAGTATTCTGTTGTTTTATGGTGGAATGTTTTGTATATATCTACAACGTCCATCTAGTCCAATGTGTCCTTCAAAGCTCTTGTTTCTTTGTTGATTTTCTGCTTAGATGATCTGTCCATTGCTGAGAGTGGAGTGTTAAGGTCTCCTACTATTAATGTATTATTATCAATATGATTCTTTATTTTGGTTAACAGCTGGCTTATGTAATCGGCTGCTCCTATGTTGGCGGCATAGATATTTACAATTGTTAGATTTTCTTGTTGGATAGATCCTTTAAGTATGATATAGTGCCCCTCTACATCTCTTACTATAGTCTTTGGTTTAAAATCTAATTTGTCTGATATGAGAATTGTTACCCCAGCTTTCTTTTGAGGTCCGTTGGCATAATAAATGGTTCTCCATCCCCTCACTTTCAATCTGGAGGTGTCTTTAGGTTCAAAATGAGTCTCTTGTAGACAGCATGTGGATGGGTCCTGTCTTTGTATCCAATCTGCAACCCTGTGTCATTTCATGGGAGTATTTAGGCTGTTCATGCTGAGAGTAACTACTGAAAGTTATGAATTTAGTGCCATCATATTGCCTGTACAGTCCCTGTTTCTATAGATTGCCTCTGTAAATTTCTGGTCTATATTACTCTTGGGGTCTTCTTTTATAGAATCCCCCTTAATATTTCTTGCAGGGCTGGCTTAGTGGTCACATATTCTTTCAATTTCTGCTGGTCCTGGAAGCTCTTTGTCTCTCCGTCCGTTCTGAAGGACAGCTTTGCTGGATAAAGTATTCTTGGCTGCATGTTCCTCTCATTTAGTACCTTGAATATTTTTTTTTTTTTTTGAGGAACTGAAGAACGAATTTGTTTATTGAGGGTAAGGGTGCAAGCAATATAAAAATCAAAAGCTTATCTGACTTTTCTTTCTCTGCTTCTCAAATGGGGGTTGGATTTTATTTGTACATTTTCTGAGGGTCCCAATCTGCTCATGGAATCCTTTATATAGGGGGAAGCTGTGGGGCAGATTCCTAGAGACCCTTCGGGAGAACTCTCATTGGGTGGGCGGGAGTGTTGCTCATGTTGCCTACTTCTTTCCCTTCTGCTTCATGTGTATTACAAAATAGTCATTGCATGCGATGGTGAGCCCAGCAATCAGAGAGAAGCAGCTCTGGAAGCCCACTTTGCCGTCTCAGCACTGGTCCAGGTCCTTCATTATTTTGTCCATGGCCAGAGGGTCTTTTTGATTTTCCAAAAATCCAGGGAACTCCTTTTCCATGAGTACTCTCAGGTCCTCCTTTGTTAAATAGCCTTTATCCCCAGCAAACTTGTGAAATGTGAACATCATGGTTTCCATGGCGTGTTCCATTTGAGATGGCATTTTGGTGAGGTCTGTTGAAACCTTGGCCCGAGGCGCGGCTGGGACAATTGGCTGGCTGGGACGCACGGCCAGTCAGTACCTTGAATATTTCTTGCCAGCTCTCTCTGGTTTTCTAGGTCTCTGTAGAGAGGTCTGACGTTATTCTGATGTTCCTCCCTCCACACATAAGAAATCTTCTCCCCCCCCCCCCGCCCCAGCTGCTCTCAGGATAGCTTCCTTGGCTCTAAGATTAGCAAGTTTTACTATTATATGCCAGGGTATTTGTCTATTTTTATTGATCTTGGGAGAGGTCCTCTCTTGCCTCTTGGACACGAATGCTTGTTTCCTTTCCCAGATTAGGGAAGTTCTCAGCTATGATTTGCTCAAATATTATCTTCTAGTCCTCTCTCTCTCCACCCCCTCAGGGATCCCAATAATTCTGACAATGGAACATTTCATGGCATCATTGATCTCTTTAAATCTGTTCTCATGGGCTTCTAGTTGTTTATCCCAGTCTTCCTCAGCTTTCCTTCCTTTCTATCAGCTTATCTTCTTAGATCACTAATTTGTTCTTCTGCCTCATTTACCCTGGCCGTTAGAATATCCAGTTTAGACTGCATCTCATTCGTAGCATTTTTAAGTTTGGCCTGATTAGATTTCATTTCTGCCCTAAGAGATTCTATATTGTTGCTAATAGTTTTCTCAAGACTAGCTATTGCCTTCATAACTGCTACCCTGAAGTCTATCTCTGACACCTTCCTTATACCCCTAACCGTTAGGTCTGCAGCAAAGGCCAAAGTCTCTGGTTCTTTTCTTTGTTGGGAGTTCCACCTCCTAGTCATTCTGTTGAAGGATGGTTCAGGGAATGTACAGAGTCCAAAATATCAACCACGACCCAAGCAAGATGCAGCCTAGGAAAATATGGAGTGGTTGGAAGCCACCACCGAAAAAACAAAGCCAAAATGAAACCGGAGAATAAAATTTATAGAATTAAAAAAAATTTTTTTAAATTAAAAATTAAAAAAAGGGGGGGAGTGAAGGAAAGGGGGATACATATAATCCCTCAGTCTGGACAAAGTAGGGTGTTTCAGTTTTTCCTGGGTGTATTTTGTTCTGGTTGCTAAAGGGCACTACTTCCCAAAATTACAGGGAAAGTGAAAGTAAAACTGGTATATATATAAAGGTAATATTGAAAAGGGAAAAAGAGACTACACTAAAGCATATATCTATATTTTAAAAATATAGGTGTGAAAAAATATAAGCTAAAAAGTTACTATGAATTATAAGTTGATATATTGAAAATCTGGTTGAAATGAGAAAAAGGTAAAAAGAAAAAACAGAAGCATAAGAATAAAAAGAAAAAGGGAGCTGTATCTGAAAAATACACAAGCTGTTAGGCAATGCCTGGAGCTCAATATACTATTTTCCCCTGATGTTGGGGTTTTACAGTTTTACGGGGGTTTTACAGTTTTATGGGGGCCCTAGGGTTGGCTCCTCTTGTTCTTCCAGCCTGTCTTCTGGGGGAGGGGCCTGTCACACTGTTTCTCAGGAACGCTGCTTGGGTAGAGTTGCCCTGCCTCTTGTGGGGGGGGCGGGGAGGCTAGGCTCCGTGGAAACTGGTTTTTTAAGCTTTGGTCCTCTGGCAGCTTTCTGTGCCTCTTCTGAGGGTCAGAGCAAAAATGGCCACACCCAGATCTCTGTCCCAGAGCGGAGAAATCAGTCTGCTCTTCTCTGAACCCTCCGGAATACACAGTCTCCCTTTCTGTAGGTGCTGCTGAAAACTGCAGCCTCCTGTGAGGGGTGCGCGCCCAGAGCAACCTTCTCAGTGGTCGACCCAGGGGCCTGGGCTTGTCTCTGCCCTTTGTGCATCTAAAACCACAAGCGGTCCTGGGTCCACGCACGTGCATCCGCAGCGCCTGGATTCTGTCTGAGTGCTGCTCTAAAGCCCTTTCCCAGCCATTACCACTCTGTGAGTTTTTGTCCGCTCCGGTACAAGACACTTTTGCCTGCATATTCATGACTCTGCCCTTCCTACCTCACGAGAGGCAGCATTTTTCTGCTTGTAGAGATCCAGATATATATGCTTACATCTCAGGCTGATTTCGTGGGTGTTCAAAATGGTTTGGTAGGTATCCAGCTAAATTCAGGGGACCAGCTGAAACAGGGTCCCCTACTTCTCCGCCATCTTGTCCCCCTCAAAAGATTTTATTTTTAAGTAATCTCTACACCCCAATGGGGCTCGAACTCACAACCTCAAGATCAAGCGTAGCATGCTCTACCAACTAAACCAGCCCGGTGCCCCTAATGTTACAATTAAAAAAAAAAAAAAAAAAGAATGTTTATCAGCCACTCTGGGAAACAGTATGGAGGTTCCTCAAAAAATTAAAAATAGAACTACCCTATAATCCAGTAATCACACTACTGGGTATTTACCCAAATATACAAAAACACTAATTCAAAGGGATACACAAACCCTTATGTTTATAGCAGCATTATTTACAATAGCCAAATTATGGAAACAGCCCAAGTGACCACTGACTGACGAATGGATAAAGATGTGGTATAAGACACAACGGAATATTACTCAGCCATAAAAAAGAATGAAATCTTGCCATTTGCAACAACATGGATGAAGCTAGAGAGTATAATACTGAGTGAAGTCAGTCAGAGAAAGACAAATACCATGATTTCAATCATATATGGAATTTAAGAAACAAAACAAATGAGCAAAGGGAAAAAAGAGAGAGAAAGAGAGAAACCAAGAAACAGACTCTTGATAATAGAGAATATACTGATGGTTACCAGAGCAGCGAGCGGGGGGAGGTTGGGGGGGGGGACCATGGGCAGATGGGCTAAATAGGAGATGGGGATTAAGGAATGCACTTGTTTTTGGTTTTGTTTTTTTGTTTTGTTTTTACAATTTTTTAAAGTAGGCTCCATGCCCAATCCAGGGCCCAAACTAACAACTCTGAGATTAAGACCTGAGCTGAGATCAAGAGTCAGATGCCTAACCTTAGACTGAGTCATCCAGGTGCCCCAGGAGTGCACTTTTGATGAGCACCGGGTGATGTATGAAACTGTTGAATCCATATATTATACACCTGAAACTAATATAATATGTTAACTATACTGGAATTTAAAATAAAATATATAGAATTCTATAATAAAAATGGAAAGATTCATTTTTCAGTTAATTATTCACTTCACTTTTTTTTTTTTTTTAAGATTTTATTTATTTATTTGGCAGAGAGAGACACAGCGAGAGAGGGAACACAAGCAGGGGGAGTGGGAGAGGGAGAAGCAGGCTTCCTGAGGAGCAGGGAGCCCGACGCGGGGCTTGATCCCAGGACCCTGGGACCATGACCTGAGCCGAAGGCAGACGTTTAACCACTGAGCCACCCAGGCGCCCCTCACTTCACTTTTCATAAGAGTTGTCAATTCACACAGACTGATATAGACAGAAAGCAGTTCTTAAGTGAAATTGTTGATTTTTTATATTTTATTTCAATTTTACTGAAATAAAGTTGTCCATGGGAACACAACCTGAAATCATGATATGTGATTCAAAATACAGATTTTTCTTTATATATAGATTTTTATGAATACAGAATTTTATAATATAGAGCTTTACTTAAAAATAAAGCTCTATATTAATTAAAAGTAAAGCTCTATATTATAAAATTAAACATATGATAGAATTGTGGATAAATTGTAACAGTCTTAAATACATTAAATATAATACTATTTCTTATATATTAAAAAGTTATTAAATGGGGGCACCTGCATGTCTCAGTTGGTTAAGTATCTGCCTTTGGCTCAGGTCATGATCCCAGGGCCCTAGGACTGAGCCCCACATTGGTCTCCCTGCTAAGCAGGGAGCTTATTTCTCCCTCTCCCTCTGCCTGCTACTCCCCCTGCTTATGCTCTTTCTCTGTCAAATAAATAAATAAAATCTTAAAAAAAAAAGTTGTTAAATGGAATGGAAAAAAGTTCCCAGTTGAATTCCTACCTCATATACCTGAGAATCTGTTTCTGATTCTTCAGAATCATTATGGTTGACTCTTAGCGAATCATTAGATTGTTCCATGCTGGTATATTCAATTCCATTTTCTTCTATTATTTAATAGCTGAAAAAAAATTTAAGTATCTGCTTAAAGCACTTAACATTTTTATGGAATGTTTGTCTTAAATCTCACATTTCCCCTCTGTTACCCCATACAATTCAGGTTAAATCATTTCCATTCTACAGATTAAGAAAATAAACATTTTTTTTAAATGACTTGCCAAGGCACCAGAATACATTCAAAGCAAAACAGAGATTACCATTATGTAGTTCCCTCAACCTACCCTTAATTACACTCAATGCACTGATTGATTAAGATTGTTGTTATGGGACAGATACTTTTCACCCTTTCAAATACTTCTAAAATTCTTATTTTACAAATATTTAATGCAAATAAAGGTTCTTAATTTTATGAGTGGGGCATGCACTATTGTAGCAGTAGATACTTTTAGAAAAGATATTTTGGTATAGACAGAAATTATATACACATAGTGTATAGAAATTATATAGAAATTATATACACATAGATGATAATACACATCATACCACTAATACTGGGTTGACAAACTTTAAAAATGAAGAAATATGTATTCCAAAATGTTTGAGCCATTTAGGCCTAGTAAAGTGATTAGCTTTGGTGGTGATTTTGTCTTTACACACACACGCGCATGCACACACACATGCATGCACACTGCCCGCTGGGGATATTTGGCAATGTCTGGAAATATTTTTGGTTGTTGGAACTGAGAGGGAAGTCCTACTAGAATCTAATGGGGAGCAGGGGTACTGCTAAATATTTTGGAATGCTCACAGCAGCCCCCACAACAAAGATGTCAGTGGTGCTGAGGTTCAGAAATCCTGGCCTAATATATTACAGTGAATACTGGATTCTGCATTACCTGAAAGGAATGATGATTTAAGTCTCAAAATTGGAGTAAAGTCAAAACAAAACTGGTGAAGAATACCATTGAAAAATTTATAATATAAAATAAACTTCACAGAACCCACACATTTTATTTTTCATAAGACAGCATAATTGTTTTTTAAAAATCCTGAAAATTTTATCTTTAAATTAACATGCATTAAATTGAACTTCCTTTTTTTGTTTTTTGCTGTATAGTTCTATGGATTTTAACACATGTAACCACATCACAGGATATACAATAATAAAATCATCCTATGCCCTAAATTAAATTTATACCTTGTACTCAGTTGGTATATATATTTGAACACACTGGGGGTGCCTGGGTGGCTCAGTTGGTTAAGCAGCTGCCTTCGGCTCAGGTCATGATCCCTGGGTCCTGGGATCGAGCCCCGCATCGGGCTCCCTGCTCAGCGGAGAGCCTGCTTCTCCCTCTCCCTCTGCCTGCCTCTCTGTCTACATGTACTCTCTCTCTATCTCTCTGTCAAATAAATAAAATCTTAAAAAAAAAGAACACACTGAAAACTTATTTTTCTGTGATAGCATCCACACATACATTTGTAAAATTAACCATTTCAGAAAATCTACAAGGTCTGCCACTTCATATTTCCAAAATATTATAAATACTTCTACTCAAATATAAATTACAACAAGTTAAAATCAATCTTATTTTTAATATATAACTTTAAAATATCTTAAAATTGTTTAAGATTTTAAATTATCACTTGTATTCTAATTTAATTTACATATAAAACTTAGGAATAATATGTTTTATATATGGTTTAAAAAATAAAAAGGAAAGTTCCATTAATGGAAATATGGCAGATTAGATAATATAGAAGGCTCTCTTGCTAGAAAACAAAACAAAAAAAACCCAGAAAGTTTATCTAAAAATATTTTGTGACTGGGAGCTGCTACAGGAAGTAACAAAAATCAAAGGCCATTCCCTGCCCTCCATATCCCCTCCCTACCACAAAAGAAAAGCAAAAGCTGTGAGCCAAAATTCAAGTGATAAACACAAGCAAAGAGGAAAATTTCTGCAAGAGCAGTACTAATACACAAATTTTATGGTTGGGAAACCACGGCTTGGATAAGCAGCTCTCAGGTGAGGCGAACTTAAAGTTCCCAAGACTAGGAACCTGAAAGATCCTGAGACAATAGTTTAGTAAGAAAAAATGGAGCTATTATTTGGAGGAACACAAACCCAGTTAAGGCATTAGTTATCTTACGTTTAAGATTAAATATAAGCTTATAATCAGAGTGTCAAAAACACAAGGAAATAAACCATCAAAAGAAAGAGCCAGTAAATTTAGACACCTCCTATAGACTTCAAATATTGGAACCATCTAACAGTGAATATAAAATAATCATTTAAAACTCAAAGAAATAAACATGAATGAATCACAAGAATAAGCAAGCAACAAGACTGAAAAGTTTAATCTGAAAGAAAACAAAACAGAACTTTCAGAAATAAAAATTGTAAGTCAATGGATACATTAAATAGAATAAATGCAGAAGAAAGAACTACTAAATTAGAAGTCAGATTTTAAAAAATCACTCAGAATGCACCATATGAAAAACAGAAGATAAAAAAATATGAAGAGACTTAAAACTAGGAAAAATAAAGTACAACATACTTATAATTGGAATCTCAGAAGAAAAGAGAAAATGGATGAGAGACAGTATTGAGGAGATAATGGCTAACAATTTTTCAAAACTGAATCCACAGATAAAGTACAAAATGTACCAAAATAAATCAAAAGAAATCCATACCCAGTGTAGTAGAAGTACAAAATTCTAAAGAGAAAGCAAAATCTAAAAATGTAGCCAGAGAGATAAGATCACCCATGGGGTACTGACATTAGATACACAGCAGTCTACTCAATAGCAACAATGGCAGAAGTCATGGGAATAAAAAAAAGTAATTATCAGTATATGATTATATATGCTCAAGACCATTTTTTTCACAAAACAGGGTGAGAGAAAGATACTTTAAGATTTTATTTTATTTTATTTTTTTTTTTTAAGATTTTATTTTATTATTTATTTGAGAGAGAGAGAATGAGAGATAGAGAGCACAAGAGGGAAGAGGGTCAAGCAGACTCCCCGCAGAGCAGGGAGCCTGATGTGGGACTCGATCCCGGGACTCCAGGATCATGACCTGAGCTGAAGGCAGTTGCTTAACCAACTGAGCCACCCAGGCGCCCGATACTTTAAGATTTTAAAAAACTCGGAGTTTAGGGGTGCCTGGGTGGCTCAGTCGTTAAGCGTCTACCTTCGGGTCAGGTCATGATCCCAGGGCCCTGGGATCGAGCCCTGCATCAGGCTACCTGTTCAGCGGGAAGCCTGCTTCTCCCTCTCCCACTCCCCCTGCTTGTGTTTCCTCTCTCGCTGTGTCTCTCTCTGTCAAATAAATAAATAAAATCTTTTAAAAAAAGTAAAAAAAAAAAAATAAAAATAAAAAACTCAGAGTTTACAATGAACAGATCCTACATGAAAGAAATTTCTAAAGAATACATAAAATAAAAATGATACCAGAAGGAAGTCCTGAGATGCTAGCAAAATGGTAAGCTAGTAAGTTAATAACTCTATGAAAAATCTAAATGAACACTGTATAAATAACAATAATGCTATTATAATTTTGTGTATGTGTGTTTTAAGAATAGAAATAAAATACTGAAGTACTAAATAAAATACACATAACTCAGGAGGGGGTGATGACAGATAAACACAGTATAACAAAACTTATGGAATGCAGGGAAAGCAGTGCTCAGAGGGAAATATAGAGCAAAAATGCCCATATTAAAAAAAAAATCTCAAAACAATAACCTGACTTTATTCCTCAAAAACAAATTTAAGAGCCAACTAAACTGAAATCTAGTGGAAGGAAGAAAATAATACAGATTAGAGAAGAGATAAGCAAAATCAGGAATAGAAAAACAAAAGAATTAATGAATCTAAAAGTTGGTTCTTCAAAAAGATTGACAAAATTGACAAACCTTTATCTAGACTGACAATAAAAAAAGAAGAAAAACACAACTAAAATCAGAAATCAAAGTGGGACATGACTATAAAATATTACAGAAACTAAAAGGATTATGAGAAAATACTAAGAACAAAGGTACAACTATCTCTATTTGCATATGGTCTTATACATAGAAAATCCTGAAGAATTCCCAAAAACACCATGAGAGTTAATAAATTCAACAAAGTTACAGGATATAAGATCAATATGCAAAATTCCATTGTATTTCTATATACTAGCAATGAACAAACCAAAAATGAAATTAAGAAAATGATTCATTTACAATTTTATCAATAGGAATAAAATACTGATGAATAAATTTAAGCAAAGAAGTATAAGACTTGTACATTAAAACTACAAAATATTGCTGAATAAAATTAAAGATCTAAATAAATGGACAGACATACTGTGCTCCTGGAATTGGAAGAAATGGATATGGTAATACTACCCAAAGCAATGTATAGATTCAATGCAATCCTTATCAAAATCCCAATGCCTTTTTTTTAGTCATGGAAAAGCCAAATTCACATCGCATTACAAGGAACCTGAATAGCCAAAACAATCTTGAAAAAGAACAAAGTTGGAGGACTCATTCTTTGCAATTTCAAAATTTACTACAAAGCTACAATACTCAAAAGCTCTATTACAAAGCTGTAATCATCAAGACAGTATGGTACTGGCACAAAAACAGACACATAGATCAATGGAACAGAATCGAGAGCCCAGAAATGGACCCTCAACTCTATGGTCAACTAATCTTCGACAAAGCAGGAAAGAATGTCCAATGGAAAAGAGACAGTCTCTTCAACAAATGGTGTTGGGAAAATTGGACAGCCACATGCAAAAGAATGAAACTGGATCATTTCCTTACACCACACACAAAAAATAGACTCAAAATGAATGAAAGACCAAAATTTGAGACAGGAGTCCATCAAAATCCTAGAGGAGAACATAGGCAGCAACCTCTTCAACCTAAGCCACAGCAACTTCTTCCTAGAAACATCGCCAAAGGCAAGGGAAGCAAGGGCAAAAATGAACTATTGGGACTTGATCAAGATAAAAAGCTTTTGCACAGCAAAGGAAACAGTCAACAAAACCAAAAGACAACAGACAGAAT